TGTTAGGGAATAGAATTATTACATAACACAAATAAACATAGATCTCCCACCTCTGCTCTTCTAAACGTCAGGTGCCTTATCATAATTGAGATTTTATGTGTCAAGTTCCAAGTGCCTTGCCTAGCACAGAGCAGGACCTCCAAAAATGGTCCCTAGTATTGTGCTTTGGTTCCTCCTGCTTCTCTAATCTCATCCCCACTCCTCTCTGCCTTGACCTTCAGCAACACTAAACTGCTTATGGTCATGTCTCATACCTTACACTACATTTTCTCACTTCCTAATCATTGTAGCAGAAACTGGGAATGTAGACAGACTATATTTCCCAGCCTCCCCTGATGTGGCCGTTTGAGCAAGATCTAGGCAGTGGAATATGAACATGAGTGATATATGTGCATCCAGGTCTGTTCCATCAACCTCTGCATGCTCTTCATTCTCTTTCCTCTTCCAGCCTTGGAAGCTCCATGTTGAAGACGGCAGAGCCATAGATGGAAGAACCCAGGACCCTGAATTACAGCATGAAAGAGAGCCGTCCACTGATTGGGATAATCCATTAGTGAGAAATAACTTCCATTGCGTTTAAGCTGTTATACGCTCTTCGTTTGCTGCAGTAGCTAGCCTTACCTTAATTAATACACTTCTGCTATCTCATGTCGCTGGAACTCCTGTAAACGCCCCTCCTTCCCTGGGGTAACTCCTGCTTATCCTTTAAGCTTCATCTCTGGCTTCACACCCTCCAGAAATCCTTCTCTGGGCAACCCCAGCTCCTCGACTGAGGGTTAGGTGTCTCCAGCAGACTCTGCACAGTTGACTTCTCTCTGTCCATTCTCCTCTTCTTCCTAACAGAATCCCAGTTTTGTTCAGGGCAGTTAAAAGTACCCATTTCCCAAGACTACCCTGTAGCTAGCAGCAGTCATGTGATCCAGTCTTGGCCAATAAGATGTAAGAGGAAGGTGCCGGATGGAGATTCTTAGGGAAGCTTTTTGAAAAAGGAATAGATTGGGCTCATATCTGCCTTTTACCTTTTTTCTTTGTGCTTCCTTTCTTCCCACCTAGAACTCAGATGCAATGCCAAGAATGGAGCACACACATTACAACCATATGGCTGAGAGCCACGTGCTGAGACAGAGGAGACAGAAGATTCCAGGTCCCTCAAGGCACCATAGAGTCACTACACCTGCCCTGTTCTGCCCATCTCTAGTTCTCCTGTAATGTGGAGGATAGAAACTCCCAACGCTCAAGGCCTGTAGTGAGGTTTCTATTTGGCACAACTGGAAACAATCCTAACTGAATGCGTGCCCCTGCTGTGCTCCTGAGCGCCCTGTGTGCCCCTCCAAGGCCTCTGCCACAGCCCATCACACTCCGGCAATCATCTGCTCAGTGACAAGGGGCACGGTTCTGTCTTCCTCATGCTTGTTCTGAAGAAAGAAAAAGGTATCCCTGAAGGACACACATAAAAGGCCCTCAGCCAGGGAGTGGCCGCCTTGTCCCCTCACTCCTCTGTCAGTGGAGCATCGGCTCTATGACCTCTGAAGTCTTTTCAAGTCCCCGCATTCTCTGATTCCACCTCACATCCAGTGCACTCTGCACACCAAGGGTACAAAAGGCTAAGAGCCAGGCCATCTGGTTGTTGGAGTCAAGGAGCACATCCGGGATAACAGCTAGTGCTCAGGCAGCCCTCTGACACCCCAGCGTCGCTGTGTTAAATGAGGTGAAAGTCAACAAAACTGACCATTTTAGAGTGGACGATTCAGTTTAGTATATTCACAGTGATGTGCACCCACTACTTCTAGGTACTTACAAAATGTTGTCATTGCCCCAAAATAAAATGCTGCACCCACTAAGCAGCCATTTCCCATTCTCCCCGCCCCCAGCTCCTGGAAATCACCCATCTGCATTCTGTCTCTGTGGATTTACCTGGGTATTTCATGTAAGTGGAATGAAACAGTGGACCAGTGAAGGCAGGTAGGGCCTCACTGTCCGCACGTTAGAATGACATTCAGCTTTTCTTTATCCAGTGAGGTCAAGGATTCCCATTGCAGCTCAAGTGGCAAAAGATAAGGTTAAATATCTTTGCAGTCCAGCTCCTAGGAAATCTTCAAAATTAGGTCTGGGAGGAGCCTCTCCTAGAGGGACAGTAGCTTAGGGACACAACTTGTGTGAAGTGGAGGGTGAACTGTCTGGAGGGTGAACTGGCCGGTCTGGGCCCAGGGGTGCTGTCGAGCAGCACTGTTGTGAGAACACACAGCCAGGTTTGATATGTGATGTGGTGTGTGTGTATCTGCGTATAGACAGACATCCTGGAGCGCTTACAAATTTCCTTTCTTATTGGAATAAACTTTATAGATCACAAAGCACTTCGCCATCCTTTCTCTGCGGCTCTCAAAAGGAGGCAGGGCGAGCATCAACTCCCATTTATACATGGGGCATCCGAGGCCCCCTTAGAGGACCTGCCCAAGGTCCCCGAAGCCTGCCGTCCTCTCCTGTGTGCACGGTAGATCTTGCCTTCTCTGATGTGTCCTGGATACCTTAAACAGTGCAGTCATTGCTCACATGGAGTGAGGGGTAAATATGTTTGCAGGTTATGTTAGTTAAAAACAAAACACCATAGCCTGATTGGCTAAAACACCATAAATAATTATTTCTCATGGTTCTGGAGGCTGGGAGTCCACCATCAAGGTGCCAGCCTTTTGATTCCGAGTGAGAAGTCTCTTCCTGGCCTGCCTTCCCGCTGTGTCCTCACATGGTGAAGAGGAAGAGCGAGCAAGCTCTCTGGTGTGTCTTCTTATAAGAGCACTAATCCCATATTTCCATCCACCCTTATGACATCTCACCCTAGTTACCTCCCAGAAGCCCCATCTCCAAATACCATCCAAGGGAAGGGGAGGGCGTCAACAAGTAAGTTTTAGGGGACACAGACATTCAGTCTATACTACAGGTGGAAACCCGTTCTTTCCCCACCGGTGGGGACCATTCGCTGCAGCCAGCGAGACAGCAAAATGCTCTTGTCAAAAAAGACAATTTGACCCAACTCGCCCAGAAGGAGGGGCAGGGAAGGAGGACAAAACTCAGAGAGTATTAGGAAGAGAGGAGGGTTGCCAGATTCAGCAAATAAAAATACCAAACAACTAGTTAATTTTGAATTTAAAAAATGAACAATAAATAATTTTTTAGTATAAATATGCCCCACGCTTAGTTTGGGACATACTTATACTATATCTATCTATCTATCTTTGCTTTTTATCTGAAATTCACATTAACTTAGCATCCTGTATTTTTCTCTGGCAACCCCAAAAGAGAGCAGCCAAGAACTCTAAAGCAAGCAATGGATTCCAGGAGGGCCAACTAAAGGATCTCTGAAATAATGCTTCCTTTATGTATTTAACTTTTTCAGTCTTTTTTTTTTTTTAACTATCTAGCTTCTTTTTCGTGGTAACATATACATAACGCAAAATCTACCATTTTAACCATTTTTAAGTGTACAGTTCATGGCCTTCAGTCCATTCATATTGTTGTGCAACCATCACTACCAATCTCGGGAACTTTCATCACTCCAAGCCGACATGTCAAAGAAAATCAGAGCTGGACAGTAGTTAAAGGGGTTAAAACTGATCTTATTTGGGACTTTGCAACAGAGGAAAAGAGACCTCAGTATAGAATTGGGGTCAATTCCGAATACCGCATGGACAACTGAGGGTTTCTAGCCAGGAAGAAGCGGGGGGGAGGGGGGCGAGGATGTCCGTGGACAGAAAATCACTAAGAGGGTGTGTAATTCTCTGCTGAACTGCCCTAAGAGGATGCCTGCGGAAGGCGGGGCTCTCATGGGGAGAGGCAGGGACCAGGAGTTCCGTCAGATGTTGGGGGGGATCTGATACAGACGAGGGGGCCAGTCCCACTTAACGGGATTCCCGCTAAAGCTCCAGGACGCAGGTGAGGCCTAGCCGGGAGGAGACCTCCCCCGAGGCCTGGCCGCACTCTGCACCCATCCCACGGGGACTCCCCCGCCCCGACCCCTCCCCGAATCCCCTTCCGATCCCTGTGTCCGTGGACGACTATTCCGGGCACCTTCCGGACTGACGTGGTGGCAGACAGCATTAGTCGTTTGCGTCTGGCTTATACATTTAATTTTAAAGAGGGGGGAGGGAACTAAGTGGACTGCGGGGACAACCGCCTACAGAGGTCAGGACAGGAAAATAACGGTGTGTTGGAAGACTTGCTAGTTCATCTCCATCTGTAGGGCCAGAGGGGAGCGAGCTTCCTGATGCGTGCGGGGGTCGTGCCCGGTACCCACTGGGCCGGGGCTGCGGCGTCCCTGGAGAGCCTGAGGGAACAGCAGTGAGGGCACAGAGGCGCGGGCGGGCGCTCGGGGTACGAGGGTCGGCGCCGCGTGCACCGTTGGGAGGGGGGGCCTCTGCGCCTCGCCGCCCCGCAGCGCCGGGAGTGGGGGGCCCGCAGCACCCGGAGGCCCGCAGCACCGGGAGTGGGGGGCCCGCAGCACCGGGAGGCCCGCAGCGCCGGCTGTGGGGGACCCGCAGCGCCAGGAGGCCAGCAGCGCCGGGAGGCGGGGCCGGCGGCGCCAGGGCCGGGCGGCGGGCGGGGCGGCAGCGCGGCGGCGGCGGCGGCCACAGCCACGGCAGCGAGCAGGTGAGGGCGGCGCGGGCCCCCGCGGGCCGGGGCTCGGGCGAGGGGCGAGCGCGGCCGGAGAGGCGGCGGCCGGAGAGGCAGCGGCGGGGGCGGGCCCGGGGGGCGGCGAGCGCGCGGGGCGGGCCCGGGGGCGGGGGACCGGCAGAGCCTGCGCCCGGCCTCACCGCGGCCGGGAAGCGGCGCGGGCCTCTGCCGGCCGGGGAGACGCCTCGGCCCCAGCTCGCGGCTCCTCGCCGTGCGCCTTCCCCGTAGCGCGGCCGCCCGGGCGCAGGGGGGCCCTGCTGGGAGAGCGGCCTCGGGCCGCCCGCGCTCCGCTTCCGCTGTCGGCCGGCGGCCCCGTGACCCTCACGTGACCGAGGCCCTCTGCGCCCTGGGCCCCGGGAACAGGGCGGAAGTGAAGCCTCCAGCCCCGCTTCTGCAGCTGCCGTCCCTCCCCGGTCACCCCACACTGCTTTAACCGTGCTGGGTTCCTGCCTGCCCCCCGCAGCGGTTTCAACCTGGGGTCTAGACCCTGGGAGCGGGGTCTCGCGGATGCGGTGCAGTAAGGATGTCGTGCGCTTCCGAAATTAGAATCAGCATCGTAAGAGAGGGTATGACGTGTGTTCATTTTTCCTGGAAGAGTCCACAGTTTTTACCAGACTCTCTAAAGTGGCGCCGTGCAATAGAAATATTATGTGAGTCACGTGTGTGATTTTAAAAGTAAAAAAACAGGGACGGCCCGGTGGCGTAGTGACTGAGTTCCTGCGCTCTGCTTCCAGGCCCCAGACCTACACACCGCTCATCAAGCCATGCTGTGGGGTGTCTCATATACAAAGTGGAGGAAGATTGGCACAGATGTGAGCTCAGCGACAATCTTCCTCAAGCAAAAAGAGGAAGATTCGCAACAGATGTTAGCTCAGGGCCGCTCTTCCTCATACACACGTGCAAGTAAAAAGAAACAGGTGAAATTAATTTAGTACTATATTCTGTTTAACCCAATATGTCTAAATATGGTCATTTCAGCATGTAATCAATATAAAACATTTTAATGAGATATTTTATGGGGTTTTTTCCTACTAAGTCTTCGAAATTCACTGTATATTTTACACTTAGACTGCATCCCAATTGAAACTGTCCTCATTTCAAGTGCTCAATAGCCACAAGTCCCTAGTGGCTGCCATATTGGATGGCGTAGGTCTAAGGATTTCATTCCTGGCCGGCAGGCTTAAGTCCAAACTCCTTGCCGTGGTATCAGGGTTTTTCACAAACTGGCCTCATTATCTTTCTTTTTCCTGCCACTTGCCCAGGGATGGTTATACCCTCACCACTGAAAAGCACTTGCCATTTCCCGGCAAGCCGTGGTTCAGGCTGTTCCTTCTACCCGGAGCGTCTCGCTGCTCTCTCGCTGAGCCTCGCAGGGAGGCACAGCTTGTGCAGAGAGGCTTTTCCTGACTCCCTAACCCCAGAGGATTTCCCGCCCTCCGCAGTGTTCCCCCGCCGCGCTGTACTCACGCGGGTTAGGGCACTCATCACAGGGCGTTTGTTTTCGAGGCTGTCTCCACGCCAGTACAGTGTCCTTTTATCTTTGCTGTGATCGTGGCCAGCACCTCGTAATTGATGAGTAGCTGTTTGCAGACAGAATTAGCAAACCACTAAGCAGCTGTGCTCAGTCTCTTCCTCTTCGAAGGACTGCTGCTTTCTTGTCTAGATGTGTGCCTGTTCGACCCCCTTTTGCATGTACACACACAGACGTGGTAACTAACCATGAGGAGTGCTTCTCAAGGTGTGCACAGTAGAGTATCTTCTACCTCTTACCCCCGTCTGTCTTACAGATGGGAAACAGGCACAGAACTACGGTAGGATGGCCAGCAAATGTGCATCAGTGGAAATACAAAGAAGGGGAGCATTCTTGAAAGGAGTGCGTGGTCTCCGAGGGTCAGGCTCCTCACATGGGTAGGGATCAGCTGGCCCACTTTGGTCATTGATGGCAGGGAGGAGAACTGGAGAGGTGAGGAGTTCCTTCTTGGCCCTGATGAGGACTCCAGGCAGCTTCAGGTCTGGAAAGCTGAGGGTATCACTGCTGGAGAAAAAGTTGAACAGCAGAACTGTCGCATGAGGAAAAGTGCTGGCCTTGGAAGGGTAGGAGAGAACAAGTAGGGTAGAAGGAAGGGCGAGGGGAAACCAGCAGAAGGAGCAAAGGAATAAGCCTCAGCTTGGTGAAGATACTGGTGTGACACATTGGCAGTAACCACTTCTTAGTGGCACCACTCTCAGACTGTAGAATGGGAAATGAAAAGAATCAGAGATTCAGAGAAGACAAGCAACTTACCCAAGGTCACACAGCACTTTGAGCCCAAATGAAAACTCCTAAGCCCTCCTTTGCCACACTTAACCAGACCTACTCACACGTCTGTTGCCACCAGGGGCCCCAACATGGTGCCTAGGAGAACAGGTCTGGGGCACAGTGCCAGGCCTGATTAATGTCTTTCTCGCTGTCTTCTACTGAGGGGCTGTGATTAGGCCTATTTATAGGGGCCTGGTGCCTTAATATTCTGCCTGGTGTGTCTCTTGCCAATCAAATCAGGGCCGTCTGCAGTGTGATTGCTGCTTTAGTGGCACCAGGGAGCGGAGTTAATTAAACCCAGTATAAATAGACTCTGCCCTCATCGTGCAATTCAAAGGAGTGTTTTTTCTTCCTGTCCTCTGCCCCCCACATGTCCCTCCTTCCTCCCGGCTCTGCTTAGCTCTAGCCTGGGTGAGCAGAGCCAGACACTCCCATACCTGGAGTCACCAGCCATGGCCTATTCTATCTCAGGAACAGGCCACAGTGAGAAGAACCCAGGAGTCAACATTTTCTGTGCTTTTCCAGACCCACGTACCATTTGGAAGTTGATGCAGGGAATTTTTTCCCCATATCCATCTCTCTGCTTCCAGCCTCATTTACTCTGCAGCAAGGGTTTCTTTCTTGCTCACCCGGCGTGGGAAGTTGAAATGAGATAATGTATGGAAAGGGTACCAAGCACCTTATAGCAGTTAGTCAATGTTGCACCTTCTCTGAACGCGCTTCTCATCAGTCTCTGCTGTCCCTATGCGTTTCCCTCCCTCATTCACCCAACAAGCACCGATAGACTATGAGCCTCCCACCCAGTGCTCTGTCCCCCACTCCCCCTGCACGGGCTGAACCTGTGGCAGACAGTTGTGGTGGGGGGCTGTGCCGTCTTCTCCTGGTACCTTGCCCTGTGGTGGGTGGGTGTGGGTGAGTGTGAGCTGTCCTGACGCTCCGGTTCCCACCCACAGGCACCATGACTCCCACGAGGACCCAGCACTCATTGGCAGGGCAGACCTACATGGTGCCCCTCATCCAGCCGGACCTGCGGCGAGAGGAGGCCATCCAGCAGGTGGCAGATGCCCTGCAGTACCTACAGAAGGTCTCCGGAGACATCTTTAGCAGGTGGGTGCTGCCACCCACCCTCACCAATCAGGGGGCCACCCTCATCCGGGCAGTCATCTCTCCATTCCCAGGAATGCACCCTCTAGGAGCATGGGTGATTCTTGGTCCTGGGGGGACCCAGCTGGCTTCCCTGTGCCCAAGGGGCCCAAGCTAGGCGCCCAGCTTAGAACTTCTTCTCGTAAGAGCTCACTACTATTGCGCACTTAGCCCCCTGGGTTGCCTGTGAATCCCCAGGCCCCAGTGGGGGTACTCCTCTCCCAGCTCAGTCTCTTCCTCCCACTGGGGGCCCTGTTCCTTCACTTATTCCTGCTGCCAGCAAATATTTATTCAGCACCTCTCATGTGCCAGGCAGTGTGCTACTCTCTGTAGTTACAGCAATGAATACGGCCGCGTCCCTGTCCAACTAGAGGATAGACCCTGGCAGGAGACACAGACTCTAACGAATCAATTGTGCGTTAGTCATTTAATTACAGTTGTGATAAGACCGATTTATAATAATTTTGTAATAACTAATATTTACATAGTATTGACCGTGTACCACCACTGATCGGAGTGCATTAACTCGTTTAACACTCACACCACTTTGTGAGGAGGTGCTGTTGTTATCTCCATTTTATAGATGAGGAAACTGAGGCACAGAAAGGCTAAGAGACCAGTGCAAGTGGCAGAGGCAGGGGTCACACCCGGGTGTTGTGGCTTCAGACTCGCTGTGGAGGAGAGTTGTTAACGGGACCCCTGACCTAGTCTGGGGGGATCAAGGAAGGTATATGTGGAGAAAAACATGTATGTTAAAATCTGAAGGGTGAGTGGGAGTTACTGTGAGTGGGTAGGTTGGGAAGAAGAACGTTCCAGAAAGAAAGACAGCCCTGAGATGGGAAGGCCCTGAATGGAAGCCAGGTGGCTGGAGCGAGGAGGGGCTGAGGGTGTGAGAGGCTGGTGAGGTGGGCCTTAGGGGTCGTCGCCGGCTTTGAGCGCAGAGTGGCAGCGTTTTGCCTCACCGGCACTGATCTAGCACTGTCCTTGGGCTATAATGATTTTTCATCCCGTGTTTATTTAACATGAATGAATGGCGTTGCTGTTTCCTTGCCGAGGGCCCAGGTTTCGTCCTGTGTATGGCTCCATAAGCAACCTGAGATGGGGCTCAGGGCGTCTCCTTGCTGGGGGCCCACACCGTGCCTCACCAGGGACCTTCGACCCCACCCAGCGTGAAGCATTTGACTGCCTGCTCGAGGTCCCTCTCGTGTGTGGTCCAGGTCCCCTCCCCTTCCCCTGCTTGTGCCCTAGATCAGGCGTGCTTCACCACGCAGTCTCCTCCTTCACCAGGTGTTAGTCCACCTCTTCCTGGAAGCCTTTCCCAGTGGGGGCAGAAGGGGGGGGTCATTGTCTCCACTTGAACTTGGTACAAACACCACATCTCTTACTCTTCTGCCTCTGGCCTGTCCCTACGCACCTGTCTGCCCCAAGCCTATGCAGAAAGTAAATGTACCCAAGGGGCAGTGCCCTCAAGTGGTTAAGGGGTGACTCTGGAGCAGCCTGCCTGGGCCCAGTCTGGCGTCCCCATTTGCTGGCTCTGTAACCTTGGGCCAGTTACTTAACTCTCTAAGCCTCAGTGTTCTTATCTATAAAATGGTGATAATAATGGTGCCTTCCTCGTAGGATTATTGTAAAGATTCAGTGTATTAAAACTTTCAGGGGAATTAAAGTGCCTGGCATCAAGTAAGCATTCAGTAAGCATTTGCTCTTATTACCTGTTGATACCATCTCTGCTCATTGGCTGCCTAAGGTGGCCCTCCATTAACCTGCTATCAATAGTTATAGAAAGTGTTAGGCGCGCTTCTTGTGCTAAATATGCCCAAAGAATGCCTAAGGAAGAGGTCACAGGCCTTTAAGAGCCATCAGTCCCAGATTATGGCTACCCCATACCCAGTGATTGAGATGGATGCCAAAAACAATCCATCGGAAATACTTATGTTTCCTCACCAGGATTGTGACTGCTGCTTGCCTTTGTCTAAGGGAGCATTGGGTTTTTAGCATCCTTCCCTTTCCCTTGCTAGTATTTGGCAACTGTGGACAGTTTCGTGTCCCCCCGCCCATGGATGGGATGAGGAAAGGGCAAGAAGGCCATCTCCTGGGGAGGGAGTGGTGTGAGTTGAGCATGGGTATGGGCTCTCCAAGTGGCTAGGCTTGGCTCAGGGAGGGCAGGATGCCTCTCAAGAGCCCTGTACCTGCGTCTAGGCTCCCATTACAACCAGGTCCAGGTCACCCCATTGACCTCCCACCATGTGCCCAATATGCTGGACCCGAAGGGTGCTGAAGATGTGAACGACATGGTTCCTGTCCTCAAGGATCTTATAGTCTAGAATGGGAAAGCAGTAGGCCTAGGTTGGTTCTTAATTGCATAGCATGAACTGTGGGCTTCTGGGGATCTAGGGAAGAGAGAAATAAGTAAGAATTGGTGGCACATTTATCAATCAGAAGTCCCCAAATCAATGCAAGCAAAAAGTAACCAATTGGTAGAGAAGGCTTTGGAGTCACAGGGTTTAAATGATGTCTTCAGGACCTGATTTTTCTTTTATTCCACCCCAGCTGCTGCTGCTAGGCTGTCTCCATTCCCAGACAGGCCTTGCTCTTGTGGTGGCAAAGTAACCAGCAGGCCTGAGCTCATGTACTCAGGTTCAGGTCCAGCAGGAAAGAGTGCTTTCCTCCGTGTCAGCATTTCCTCCGAAGTCCCACTTGCCCCTTGGCCTGGCTTGGTTCTCAAGTCTATCCCAGAGCTGACTGCTGGGGCCAGGGGGCATGACACGCTGACTGGCTTAGACCCTGGTCACATGCATCACCCCTAAGCCATGGGTTAGGCCCACCTGAAATGCAGAGACTGAGCCTGGGGGAGCGATGGAGCCCCTAAAGGAAATGGGAGCCCTTACTTGCATAAGGAGGAAGTAGATGCTTGAGAGGAAAACCACACGCCTGCTCCCCATGGTCAGGGAAGGCCTCCTGAAGGAGAGGGGCATGAGCTAGGCCATTGCAGGGATGGGTTATGGTGAGGCAGGGTTAGGAAGAGGGGTGTGCAGGTCATCTGGTGGGGTCTAGAAATGGGTGCCACAGGCTCAGAGGCCCGGATGTGGAGCATGGTGTATCACGGACTCCTGGAGGAAGGCTGGCCTGAACGGGGTGCTTCTGTACTGGGGTACAGACATTGCTGCCTGTCCCATACATTTGGCTCCTTCACAGTAGAACAGGGTGTGAAAAGTCAGCTTTCCGTGTGTCTGTGGGCCTTGCTTCCCCCTCTGAGTGTGCGCTCTTGGGAGTCGGCCTCTCGCTTCTTCATGCCTCCTCAGTGCTGTGGGAATGCTTCAGGGCAGGAGTGGGAGGGAGGGGGCAGGGTGAGTGAGAAGTTGGGATAAGTAACTTAGGGCCCATGGAGGCTTCTCCTAACAGGACGGAACTCTGAGCTGGATTCAGGAGTTTTAAGGAGGTGTGATAGGTTGTCGAGCAGGGAAGTGATGGGACAGAAGAGTTTGGGGAAGATATGTCAGGCAGCCAGCACAGAGTGGACAAGGTGGGGGAGAGAGTGGACTCCAGGGACACGCTGCGGGCTGTTCCTGTAGTCAGGGCATGGAAGGGATGAGGCTGCAGTCCAGGGGAGTTGCAGGCAGGGAGGGCTGGATAAGAGACATTTCAAAGGGAACAATGACAGGACACAATGACAGATTGGGAAGAGGATGAAGGAAAGGGAGGATGATTGGGAGTCGGGGTGGGGAGTGCTGAGACCTCGCCTCATTCACCTGCCCCCTGTCCTGCAGCAGTCATCAAGCTGGGGGCTTTTCATGTTTCCTGGGCTTTTGAGTTGGGGATGTGACCCCAGCTTGGAATCTCCCCCCTTAAATGCACTCCTCCTGCTTAGAAACCTCTTGCAAAGAGACAGGTGGGTAGAGAAGAGACACTTGCTATCTCTCCTTTCCACTGCTCCCCCCATTTCAGGCCCCCCTGGAGCCTGTGCCCTGTTCCATAAGTAGGTGAGCGCCTGGGAAATTAGCATTCCAAGCTGGGGGTCCTTCCTCCTGCTCTGCCACGGCAGGAGCCGCACAGAGACTAGAAACAATGACAAGTACCTCTCAGGCTCCCTTCCACCCCCTCCTTCCAACCCCCTCCCTGGCCCCTCTTCCTGCCTAGCACACCTCCCCAGCCCTCACCCATCCCCCTCTTCACCTGGGAGAACCCAGGCCCCGAAATATCTGCCTAGAGATGTCAGCTGCTTCACACGACTTAGATGAGGAGGCCGAGGGGGTGGCAGTGGTCCAGGGAGAGGAGCTGGACAAATTCTGGGTGTGGAAGTTGGGACTCATCAGTCGCAGCCTGTTCAGCTCCCTCTTCATGGGGAGGGTTTGCTCTGCCAGGCCTTTCCCTTATCTCTTTTTCTTTCCACTTCCTCCCTCTTCCCTTCTCCTCTTCCTGCTTTTCCTCCTCCTTCTCCTCCCTTCTTTTCACCTACCCCACACTTTCCCCTTTTCCTCACTTCCTCCTTCCTCTCTATCACCCTTCCTCCATCCTTCCTTTCTCCCCGCTTTCTCTCTACTGATTGGCACCTGGTAACTCCCAGGGTTAGGAAGCACTCAGTCAGCTGCTCACATAATTAGCACATCATTCCTAATTATCCCAGAGAGTGGAGAAGAGAAGGGTGAAGGCAAGAGCTCTGGTTCAGGGTCTGCTGTGAGGGCATGGGACAGGCAAGGGAGGAACAGCAGCAATTATGGGTCAGAAGGGGGCTCCCTCCTCCCCAGCAGCCTCTCTGGAGGACTGGCATGCTGATCCTGAGGGGCCATGGTGGGCTTGCAGGGGCTGTGGGCCTGCCTGGCTTCATAGGAAATCTTCCCCTAAGGGAATAGGGGTAGCTTTGGAGGTGGTGGGCCCAGGCACTCCTGGCCACCCCATCCCCCTCCATCTCCCACGCCAGGAAGAGAGTGGCCTCTCTGGTGCCTCCTTGATCGCCTCCCACCCCAGCCAGGGGAGCCGCTTCCTGTTGCTCTGTACTCTGCCTCCATAGTGTTCTCTTGCGAAGTCCTGTTCCCTCAGCCTGGAGCCTCCTGGTCTGTGCCTGCTCCGCACTGCCTCTTCTTGCTTTCCTCTGAGTGCCTGCAGCCCCTCCTCCCTCCCAGTCTTACGGGCAGTAATAACAGATGTTAACTGAGCACTCAGGACATGTCAGCTAGTACAGGAACACTAGACATACGTTCACTCATGTTAACCTTTACAATAATTCCATAATATAGAAGTTACTATTCCTGTTTCTCAGCTGAAGACACTGAGGCATAGGCCAATTAAGTGACTTGCCCAAGGTCACACTGCTACTAATAGATGTTAAGGCCAGGTCTGTGGGACGTCGTAGTTACTTGTCTCCCTGGTGGACCGGAATCTCCCTGAGGGCAGACGTGTGTTATGGGATTCCTCTCTGTCCCACCTCTGAGGAGACTGAGTGAGCCAGTCCCATCTCTGACGACGAGAGAGGCAGCCCCCCTCTGCTGGTGTCTGGGCAAACATGTTACAGGGGCGTGGCTTCAGGGATGAGCTTCGAAACCGACCTCCCTTTCAGCAGGCCACCAAGCCAGGGGGTCCAGGTCAGGAATGACAAACAAATTGCCTTTTTGCCACTGTCCCCCTGCCCTCAAGGTGGACATTGCTAATCAGTCCAGCCCTAGTGTGGCCTAACAGTCCTTCCTAACACAGGCTGCCAGTCCTCCGGTGGAGATGGCAGGGGAATTGAAAGCTCTCTCATCCACGGTCGGTGCTGTCCTTGGCATCGTGGCATATGACTATGACTATAAGAGATTGGACTATCTGGGGGCTTTGTCAACAAGCAAGCCATTACTTAGACTTATAGGCTCTTGGATAATAAAAGAACCCTGGAAATCATGCCTTCCATTCCCCTGCCCCGCACAGGAATCTTCCCTCGGAGCATTCCTGACAGGTGGTCATCCAGCTGGAATCTGATTGCTTTGCAAAGCTATGCAGCTGTTTACTAGAAAGTTCTCCTTATGTAGAACTGAGATCTGCTTCCTTGTAACTGCACCCACTGGTTCTAAGGGAGCCCTCTGGGGTGACAGAGAATAAGTCTAATCGCTTTTCCACCCAACAGCACATGATATTTTTGATATTTGAACGGAATTATCATATTCTGTAAGTCATCTTATCTGTAACCAGAACATTCTTCACTTATCTTTGTATGACAGGAGTTCTCACTCATCACCAGCCTCATCACCCTCCTTTGGACGTTCGTTAACTTGTCACTTTTTATTCAGCCAGTATTGGTTACAGGTCAGGCACTGTCCCAGGTGCTAGAGATGCCACAGGGAATAAGACAGTCCCTATAGTCTAGAAGGGAATCCAGAGTCCTCTGAAAATGCGGATCCAGTTTAAAGGGGACACAGCTGTGGATGAGATTGGTGCCTGGACTAGACTAGCTCATTAATCCAGGGCTCTATTTTCCCTGTAGTGCCTCCAAGAGAGTGGATGTTGTTTATTGAAAGGCAGGAGACAGACAAGGAGCTGTATGCTCTAAGATCGCCTTTCTTTTTAAAGAGGCTTAGCATGCTTTTAGCTCATACTGAGCTTATAGTTAACCAAAACGTCAGGTCTTGCTTCACCTGAACTACTGCTAAACCTCCATCTGTATTTGAACACTTGACTTTTTAAACCTAAAGCCTGGGCTTCACATCCATTTCTTGTCAATTTCATTTTGTTGCTTGCAGTCCACCCTTCTGGCCTCTTAGGAGTCTTGATTATTTGAGTCTTGATTCCATCATGCAGCCCACTTTGACCCTCCTCCATTTGCTATCCCCAGCTTACAGTCAAGTGTTGAATGAGTGGGGCGGGGCTCTGCGGAGACCACTGTGCCAGGCTGAATCATTCCATTCTTCTGCAGTGCCCTCTTCAGCAGTGCCCTTTGGTGCTGTTGTTTGTCTGGCTCTGATGCAGTCTCCTCCAAACCCCATAGCGCCATCTTGTCCACAGGATTTTGTGAGAAGCCGTCAAAATCCTTGCTGACTCAAGATACACTGTGTTTAAGGTTTTCCCTTGATACACCCGTCTAATAACCCTGTCAAAGAAAGAAATGCTGTGAATTTAGAACAATGCTGGCCCCTGGGATCCACCTCTTCCTTTTCAAAGTGTTTACAGACCTTCAATTTAATAATCCATTCTGGAAATTTGCCAGGGTTCATTGTTAAGCTTGATGTTTGCAACTTTGAGAAATCAGCCCTTCTCTCCTTGATGGAAGAACCAGAACAGAGCAGCCTTTGTCCATCTCTGTTTCTGCTGTCCCTCCCACTCTCCATGTTGACTTCCAGTGGAGTGGTTACGTAACCACTGAGGTTGCTTCAGCACCCCAGGGCAGAAAGTGGCTGAGCTGGGAACTGGAGGAAGCAGCTTTCGCTCAGGTTCCCTTCCCAGTGGATGAAGACCTTTCTCCCTGGCAGCAAAGATGGAGCTCGTGCGAGTGGTTCTGCCTTTTCTCACTGGGAGGAAACGGTGTCCTCTTGTTCTCTATCTGCATTGCGATCCCACTTAGACCAGTCTGTGAAGGACCACTGAGCTGCTCTAGGTGCCTGCTTGTACCCAGACCCCCAGCTCACTGAGCCCTCTGCCATGAGGAGCTGGGAGTAATCAGGGAGACTTCATTAGGGATGGAGACCCCTGGATTGTGAAATTGGCTGATTGGTGGCTTCTCTGGGGGCCAAAACCTTCTACAGTTGGTGGGGGTAGTTTAGGAAGGTTGAACCGGTCTTGACTGTTCATTTCATCCTTTAAGGAAATCCCAGAGTTCCCTGCCGTCGTAGTCTCTGACCCCACAGACAATAGGGCCCCTCTGCCACCCACTGTATCTTCCTACCCATCCCCATGAACTGAACTTGCAACCCTGCCTCGTTGTTTCTCGTGCCTCACTTGTGCGCTCACTCCTGCCGGGTGAATGCAGAGATGTGACCGCTCTGCATGTGGAACTTGGTGGTCACAGGTGGGAGCTGGTGTTCTTGGAGGTAGGGGAGCGACTGGGAGAAGGATGCCCTGGCACATGTGAGCCTGAGTCCCCTCTGTGGTGAGAAGACCCTTGCTGCTGCTGAATACTGTGGGGAAAGTGTAAGGCTCACAAGCATTTACATTCAGGGCACATGCGTGTCAGTCATTCAGAGGGAGCCTCTGACAGTGCCAGGCACTGTCCCAGATGCTGGGAGTCCAGCAGGGAATAAGGCAAAGCCCTCACCCCTGGGCACACAGAGGCCTGGACACATAATGTCCAGTGGCTCTGTGTGGAAGGGGGTTGGGGAGGGACAGGTGCAATCCTGGGTTCCACCCTCGGGAAGGCTTCAGAGAGGAGGGGCACAGGGAGTTTAGGGGGCAGCCATGGGGATATGTGGGGATGGCACTCCATTTGATGCAAAGGCCATGCAACAAGGATGGGTTTGGCATGTTCAGGGAATAGCAAGGTGCTGGTGTCGCTGGAGCACCCTGATCCAGGCTGGGGGGAGTGTCAGCTTATAAGCAGCCAGACCACAAGCATGAGAACCATGGTGAGGACTTGGGATTTACCCACACAAGCCATTTATTATGTCTCAGGGCAATTCCTCGTGAACAGGTCTAAGACTTGAATTTGGACTCATCCTTGCCTGTCACTCAGCCTTGGTGAACTCTGGTATCCTCATCTGTCAATAGGTCAATACATAGTCAATATGTACGTGTAAGTCATGAGGAGTCTGTCTCTGCTTGCCCCTGCTTGAGGCTATAATCAAAATCCTGGAGGCAGGAACCAGGTCCTTCAGGTGGCATGTACAGGCACTAACTTGGGGCCAGGGTATTGCCCATCCCTACCCAGCGCTCTAAGGAACTTCATACCATTCATTCCTAGACCCTTCAGGGTAGGTGATCCTTCTAGAGGTCACCTGGGCAGTTCCAAGATCGGTCCTGACAAGCAGGTAACACTGTGTTTTGAGAGCCCTTGCCCAAACCCCTGGCTCTGCAGGTTTGCTGTGAGAAGCAGGAGGGGTACAGGAGGCTGCAGGGCTCGGGGAGAAGCCCCCAGCCCCTGTGATCTTTTTCTGTGGCAGGATCTCCCAGCGAGTAGAGCTCAGCCGGAGCCAGCTGCAGGCCATTGGGGAGAGGGTCTCTTTGGCCCAGGCCAAGATTGAGAAGATCAAGGGCAGCAAGAAGGCCATCAAGGTAGCACATGTGGCCCTGTGTCCCCATGGCTGTGGGTAGTCCCAGAAATCCCATTCCCTACCATCTCTCCACACTCAGGTCCCTGCCTCTGCTATCCAGCCATACCTCAAACTTGCCTCCTGCCCAGGATCCCCCCAGCCCCAACCCTAGCCCTCTGGAGCTTCTCAGGCCCCTGAAGAAGTGATCTCAGACCCTCCCTGTGTTGACAGGTGTTCTCCAGTGCCAAGTACCCAGCTCCAGAGCGCCTACAGGAGTATGGGTCCATCTTCACAGGGGCCCAAGACCCTGGCCTGCAGAGACGCCCCCGCTACAGGATCCAGAGCAAGCACCGCCCCCTGGATGAGCGGGCCCTGCAGGTCTGATGGACACACACAGTGCACACTTGCAGGGAGTGACCAGTGGTGGCCCTGGATGTTGGGGAGGAACTGAGGGCCCACCATAGTCTTCTGTCCCCCAAGAGGATTCTGACCAGGATGGGGTGGAGGTCACTTTGGCCTCGTGCTGAAACCCACCATCCCTCTGTCACCTCCTCCCACCCCTCACTCTCCCCCTCAGGAGAAGCTGAAATACTTCCCTGTGTGTGTGAACACGAAGCTGGAGCCTGAGGATGAGGCTGAGGAGGGACTCGGGGGTCTTCCCAGCAACATCAGCTCCGTCAGCTCCTTACTGCTCTTCAACACCACTGAGAACCTGTATGGCCAGAAGGCAGGGCTGTGGAGGGGTGGGTGGGAGGCCTGGCCTGGCTTAGTGGGGGAACCAGGGAGCATCAGAATCAGGTACAGCAGAATTCTGCAGCCTGGGGAGCCAGGAGCTGACAGATTAGTTTGTCTTGTAAGGCCTGGGAGTCCACACAACAAACTAATTGTGCCTCCTGGTGGTGGGAAAGGTGGGTCAGGACCATGGCCCTAGAACAGATGATTGCCTGACCTCCACCCCACCTCTGTAGGTACAAAAAATATGTCTTCCTGGACCCCCTGGCTGGAGCTGTAACAAAGACCCATGTGATGCTGGGGGCAGAGACGGAAGAGAAGCTGTTTGATGCCCCTTTGTCCATCAGCAAGAGAGAGCAGCTGGAGCAACAGGTAGAGACACATGCTGCTTTGGGTGGGGGGGGGGGGGGAAGGGGGGATGGGGAAGTGTGGCCTTGCCGGTCTTCTCTAGGTGAGGGGGTTGCCCCTCCTCCCACCCGGGTATGCATGAGGCTCCCTACAGCGTCTGCTCACATACCCCTACCTAATCCTTCAGGTTCCAGAGAACTACTTTTACGTGCCCGACCTGGGCCAAGTGCCTGAGATCGATGTCCCATCCTACCTGCCTGACCTGCCAGGCATCGCTGATGACCTCATGTACAGTGCCGACCTGGGCCCTGGCATTGCCCCCTCTGCCCCTGGTACCATTCCAGAGCTGCCCACCTTCCACACAGAGGTTGCCGAGCCTTTCAAGCCAGGTGAGCTGAGAGCTGGGAGTGGGAGTTGAGTGGGAACTCCCCTGCTCGGCCACTTGCTTCCCTAGGCACCTCATACTTTCTCACACTTCTGCTCCAGACCGAGAAGATGGGGTGCTAATAGCACCCCCACCGCCACCCCCACCGCCACCGCCTCCTCCAGCCCCAGCAGTGCTGGTCAGCGCACCCCCACCCCCACCCCCACCCCTGAGCACGGCCTCTCCGGGCCAAGGTACGAGGGAGGATGAGAGCAGAGGTGGTGTCCGTCCCTCAGGTAGGAGCAGCACCTGGTGCATGGGGGCTGGGGTGTGCTCTCTTAGAGGGGGCCTCTAACTTCTGGATCCCTAAAGAATTTTCCGTAGGTTTGTTAAGTGCTCATAAATTTTCAGGATAGTCCTAATTTCAAAATCTTGCTCCACTGGGTGCAGACAATAGTGGTTTTCAAACTGTCTGTAGAGCCCTGGAATTCTGATCTCCGGGGTGGAGGGGCCTGGACAGGTGGAGCTGCGGTCCCCACTCCCACTTAAACCAATGGAAGAGGGCTACTAAAAGAAACCTACAGCAACAAAACATCCGTGTGTCCCGTAAACTGCAGAATTCCAGTGTTGATATTATATTTCCAAGTCTGTCTCCTGCACCTAGATAAGCCCTGGGTGGCACAAAAATCCCCTGTTGGCTCAAGTGTCAAGTTCATCATTGTCAGCACCTGGATAAACTCCCAGGGTGCACCTTTGCAGGGTGGGGTTGGAGAGGAACCAGGGGCACCTGCACACACTGCTTCCTGAGCTCAGGTGGGTGGTCAGCATCCAGGCCCCATACAGTCTCTGAAGGCCTGGCTTCTCCAACTGGCCTCCTCTTTCAAGAAGAGCCCTTCCTCACAGCCAGGCTTTTGAGGGGAAGCCCCTGGACCCCCGAGACCCTTAGGCTGGGCCAGGCTCCTGCCTGGGCAGCTTTTCTCCCTCACACCCTTTTCCACCCCCAGCTCCAGTCCCGGAAGCTCCCAGGGAAGTGGTTGAGCCCTCCAGTGGCCGGGCCACTCTGCTGGAGTCTATCCGCCAGGCTGGGGGCATTGGCAAGGCCAAGCTCCGCAGTGTCAAGGAGCGCAAGCTGGAGAAGAAGAAACAGAAGGAACAGGAACAAGGTGAGGGGACCCCCTCCAGGGGAGGGCTCGAAGAAAAGGGCCACCTTCTCTTCTGATCCCAGACTCCAGCAGGGTACCCTCTGCCCACCCCAAGTGTCAGAAGGCCAGCACCCAGCCAGCCTGCCCCCTGCTTTCCCAAGGGCATTTGCTGGAAGCCCTGGGTGGCCATCTCCCCTGCCTGGGCCATGGTTCCTTCCTGGTTTGAAGCCTCCTTAGTGGAACTTCCTTCTCTAAGCTGGGAGGAGACGGAGCCCCACCCAGCTCGAAGTGTGAGAGAGAACCTGCTTAGACTCTGCCAGGAGCTGTCCAAGGAAGTGGTCAGGACTGAGACCCACTTAGAGACAGGGGACCTGGAGGGCTGGCTCAGTCCTGCTCCCGTAAGCCTCTTGAGGCTACAGATCCCGTCGGCTATGAATCCTAAAGGCCCGCATCACTGTAACCCTGGGCATGAAGCAGCAGTGCCCTGGAGTCCTCAGTCCTAAGTATGAGTGCAGCCCTGTGTCTGGGCTTTCCACTTGACCTCAGGTCAACTGCCCAGCCTCCTTGGGCCAGTTTCTTCATCTGTGCAGTGAGGCTGCTCGTATTTGCCCCTTGGTCTCACAGGGCGGTTGTGACAATGGGACTCAAATGTCACCATTTTCTCATTAGTGCCCCAAAGCTGGATCCACTGATTGATAGACAAGCTCCAAGAGCTGGCAGTGAATGGTGGCTGTGGAGAGGGCTGGGGTCTGTTGGTTGTCAGCAAGAGGACAAATGCGACTGAATCCTGAGGCTGTCGCCCCAGGGGCAGATCTCATATTTGGTCCCTCACTCGTGGCTTTCCCACTGCAGTGAGAGCAACGGGCCAAGGTGGGGACCTGATGGCAGATCTCTTTAACAAGCTGGTCATGAGGCGCAAAGGTAGGAGGCAGAGCACCAGCTGCCTGCCAGGGCTGGGGTCTTGGGGTATTTTGTGTCCTGTGCATTTTACCTTTTCTCCCTGTTTTTAAGTCTCTAGGGGCTGGGTGAACTGGTGCCCCAAACCAAGTCCCTCACCCTCCACCCCTGCCCTCCCAGGTATCTCCGGGAAAGGACCGGCGCCCGGGGCCAGCGAAGGGCCAGGTGGAGCCTTTGCCCGAATGTCAGACTCCATCCCGCCTCTGCCTCCCCCACAGCAGCCACCGGGAGAGGAGGACGAGGATGACTGGGAATCCTAGGCCTCAGCTGCTGCTTCCTCCCCAGAACTCAGGCTTAGCTATGGCCCTCACGCGGAAACAGCGGGATGGGCTCCTCGGCCGGCAGCTCTCAGTCCCTGCTGCCCTTGGAGGGACCGGGATGTGGAGGACTGTCCCAAGACTGTGCCTGGACCTTCTTCAGGAAGCGGGGAGGCCGGCTTCCGAGGCCACACGCTGGAAGGGGCCGGGGGGAGCCCTTGCTCTCTGCCTGTGCTCTACCCACCCCCTCACCAGCATGCTCTCTTCTCTAAAGAGACGCTGAGATAAACAATCCATGAATCAATAAAGAAGCATAACGCAAGAACTGAGGGTGAACCAACAGTGCACTTGTCATTACGGAACGGCAGCTGTGCAGAACGCAGACACTGCCTCCGAGCCAGCCTGTCCTCCCATTCCTGCTGGCTGCAGGCAGTGGGGGCAGAGGACCAGTGGACCAAGGCCCCTTTCTCTGGGGTCAGGGGGAGCAGAGAGGTGGAGTCAGCAGGGGCAGCTATTGCGGATGGAGGGAGGGATACTTTCACAGAGGAGAAATGTCTCACTGACAGACACAGAGTCTCTAAAAATAGTCATGCTGAGAGCCTAATGGCCCTTGGCACAACTGCGGCTGTCAAGGGAGGAGGTGTCTTGGAGTCTGCTCACGTGGTTGAGAGGGAGGGAGGTGCCACTGCCGTGGAGGACTTGAAGCCATGGCAGGGAGAGAAAAATGCTGTGGGCAGTTTGGGGGCCAGCACTGCAGCAGTGAGGCCTGCAGGTGTGGCCGCAGGGCACGGGGCTCTTTCCCAGTTCTTGACGACCAGGTGGGGGAGGTGACCAGAAACCTCTGGGCAGAGCGCCCTATGGACAGCAGGGGGCTGGAAATGGGGAACGTCCTTACTTTCGAGGAGAGAGTGAAAGGTCTAAAACAGCTACTTTTAGCTGGAAAGGGAGGAGGGGAAATGGGAGAGGCAGGATGGGCCTGTTCCACCTCACCTCTAAGAAAGTGGATGCTGCCATGGAAGGCCACACCTTCCACACTGCCCACAAAGGCTGGTCAGGAAACAGGGCAGGGAGCTCGACTTGGCCATGCTGAACAGGAAGATTCAGTTCCAGGGGGGGAACTGCCCTGGGATGGGCCCAAGGACAGCAGGACCCACTGTTTTCTCCTATTGGCTTTTCCACCTGTGCCGGGGTCCTGGCAGCACACTGATTCCAGAAAGGGCTGGTCTAGACTCGACATTCTCCACCTGGGTTTCACCTCCTTAAGCAAGGTCAGGCCAAAGACAAACATTTCAAATGGGCAGGGTGAAGAGTGAGCCCGGCAACCAGGCAGCGGTGCAGCCATCCATCAGGAAGGGCCAGACCTCTCTCGATGAAACTGGGAAGACAGGGAAAGACAGTGAGACACTAGCTCTCAGGGGCGGAGGGCCCTCAGGGGACGAGAAAGGCGGGACTGACCTTCCGCATAGCAGCAATGGCGGGGCCAAAGGTGGTTTTGATCTCCACACGGTCTCGGATCCAGGCTGGCAGCTTTGCCAGGATAGGTGGGCGGGCATACCGCTGGTCCAGGAGCACTATGCTGGCAAAGTCCTTCTGGTGTCTGATGGCCCTGCCTGGATGGAAGAGAGGCTGGGGCTCTGAGTTCAACCTGCCTCCCCTACGGTACATTTCTACCCCTCCTCTTCCTCAGACTGGAGAGACGGCAGGTAACATACCTCGTTCCTGTCACCTCATTCTCCAATCATCCATCCCCAGCTATCTGCCTTGATAGCAGGAACAGTCCCAGGCTTACCTATAGACTGGTTGACAGCCTTCATACACAGATTCTCCACCAAAGCCTTCCCTGGGGGCACCTGACCTGGGGTTCTGGGCTGGGAAGAACAAAGGAAATGACCTATCAGAATATTTTCTCGCCTCCTGCCTAGTCTTCCCTCTGAGAAAATGACACAGCCAGGCTTTGGAGAAAGACCAATAGGCTTCATGGGCACAATGCCAGCAGCTGACATAATGGATGATGTCATGGAGAAGCACAGGAGGGTATGGAGGTGCATCCCATCCCTCTGGAGCAAACAGGAAACATCGGCACACATCAAGGGGCAGTGGGGAAGGCATAGCTGACCAGCCTTGGTGTCGCAGCCCTAGGGGCGACAGAACTCTTCCTCCCCATCCTCTCCAATACTGGAGGTACTCACAAGAGTCTGATCCAGGTAGGCCATCTTCTCCTGTAGTTCTGGAGACTTGATGTTGGGGTAGGGCATGCCCACCATAACCACACACCTAGGGTGGGGGCACACATGAGCCGATGGCCTGTGGGCGGTCAGGCCCTCAGCGGGTTCTCAAAAGCCAGGGGAAGGATCCGGACTTTACCCATGTCATCAACTGCTATGTCTACTGCTCCTTCAGCCCCCTCAAGCTGTGCTGGGTGGCTCTACCTCCCCCTGCCTACCCTAAACCTATGACCTGGAGAGGGCTTTTTCAGCTAAGAGATCCAGTCCACACCAATGAATTGAGTCCTGATAAAGTTACAGTCTGCCCAATTTTGCACCTGGTCTCAAAGAGCCAAGTCCAGAGTTGCCGAAACACTTCCCCATGCAGCTGGCTGGCCTGGGCAGTCAGCCTGAGTGGAGACCCGGTGGCACTGGGCTGCAGGTAGGGGCCCAGCTGCCTGGAGTGAGGAGTGGTCAGGTGTCAGAGCCCCAGGAGATGAGAGGCCCACTACTTACCGGCCAAGGTTGTCAGAGAAGTTGATGCCTTCACTCATCTTTCCTCCGACCACAGAGAGGAGCAGGGCCCCTGTCATGGTGCTTCCCATCTGGCCACAGCACTGCGGGACATACCAGCCTGAGTTGTGGAGCTGAAGCCAGGATACTGCCAGCCCCACATGTTCTCTGGACCCTAGGGCCTCAGTGACACCTCATACCTGAATGCACTTGGAATACTCCAGCAGCACCTGCTCCACCTGGTTTGCTCTCTTGGGTTCTTGAAATATCTGAAGGTAAACAGATAATGTCTCCCAGAAAAGGATCCCAGAATGCCTGGGTCTCAGGTCCAGCCTGGGACTGGAGAACCCTATGGGTCAGGGACTATGGGGAATGCTCTGGGCAGTGATCAGGGATTGGCAGTGGCAGGGTAAGGAGCTAGCAGAAGCCCCAGAGGTGAGGCCTAACTGTCCGGTTTGAAGTGCAGGGGAAGTCCTAGGAGGAACTCAGTGCTACTGTCCTCACAAGTGAGAGGATCAGCTGAGGGGTCACTCACCTTTTTCCTGACAGCCAGGCGGGCCAGCAGGCCACTCTTGTCCCAGTGGGCATGGACCTGGCGTTGGTACTCATAGGAGGGGAAGAAACAGACCACCCCTCCAGGGACCACGTTGCACAGGTTACAGAGAATGCGACCTGTTTCAGTCATCTAAGGAAGGAAGACAAGGAGCCCTCCATGGAGCCACTCCTGAAGCCACACCGAAGAAAGGCTTCCTAACCTTGGGACTCAGAAAGCAAGTACAGAGACCGCCAGGTGAGAGCAGTCAGGGAGGAGACTATGGCCGGGTGGCTCCTCCAAGTGGGAACCAGAGCCTGGAATGTGCTGCTCTCCCTACCCAACACACCCAACCACCGCTCCCGTTAACTGGCAGCACCAGGACATACGTCACGGCACGGGCACACCAGAGCTAAGACCTGCTTTGGTATGCCAGAGTCTGCCCTTCTCCAACTCCCAATGTCCAGGTGGGCAACTGGGGATTAAGCACCATCTGTGACAAACTGGGCACTGAAAACCCCAGGTATGCCACTAGCAATGTGCCCCCAACACCTGCATCCCTGCCCAAGGCAGGAGCCACTATAACCAAATGGCAAGAGAACCAAAGGAAATGAGCAGCTTTCTCAACAGTCTCATCTCAAAGGGATGACGGGAGGTTTTGAGAAAACTTATTTAGCAGCCTAAGGGGTAAGGGGTGGGGGAAGCTCAGATCTTCCTTGATAATTTCCCAGCACTAATGTCCCCAAGGCCTGAACACTCTGGATTGGCCAGAGTGCCCCTCACCCCAGAGACCTCTCTCCTGCCCTAGCAAAGGCTGTGGTAAGGCAAACTGGCTGGTACTGACCATCTGAGGCAGCTCTCTCTGCTGGTAGGTGAATTCCAGCTGCTGGTTGGAAGGCCCGCTGCAGACGACAAGGGGGAGGATATTGTCTGGAGGGATCACGTGACCTGGTGAGATGCAGAGAGGGCTGAAAACTGGAGGTGCAGACTGTTCTGCAAGGCAGAGTCCAGAAAGAGCATTCCTCAACCTTTGTCTTCCAGACGAGGACCAGCAATGCCTAACACTCACCCACTCATCCCGTTCCCACAATAAAACTGGGCGATGCGCAGACCTCTCCCAGGTAGACAGAGGGGACACAGAGCATGAGAGCATGGGGACAGTGCACTCATGAAAAAGCCTGCAAAGGATGAAGCGATCCTTGTGGTCTCCTCAGCCTCCTGGGCCTGATAACAGGTATGCTTAAACCATGACAACAAGGAGCCATAATGTGACCACGTGGCCCATTCCACCCTGGTCATGAATCCTCACCACAGGAAAACTCCACCACTCGCTCAGCATCCACCCCAGCACATGCCAGCAGCTGCTCCCGAAAGTCGGACACCTGCAGACCACAACATCAAGGCTCCGTGATCTTCCTGAGGCCCAGGACAGAGACCTCAGGCCTGAGCAGGGAGGGAGGAGGAAACCATTTGGAGAAGACAGAAGTCTGGGTTTTGAGGCAGCGAGCACGTAAAAACAGAAAAAAGAGGTGAAAAGGAAAGCAAAAAGAGAAAAAACAATTTAATGATACCCAGGGTTGGCAGTCTCATTTAAACTACTTGGAATAGCACAGTAACTTTGGCAAATTTGGCACAGTGGTTCTCAATCCTGGCTATGCAACAAAACCACCAATAGGAATATTTTTTAAAAGACACATGGCTAGGCCCCAGCCCAAACTATTGAATAAGAATCTCTAGGGGGAAGACATATGTAACTGTAATTTTAAAGAGCTCCACGTTTTTCACCTATCAAATTGGCAAAAATCCCAAAGTCTGACCACTCGGGAGAAACAGGTTCCCACGCATTGCTGGGGGACACAGGATAGTACAACTCCAGCTGGAGGGGAATTTGACAATGTTTAACAAATTAGGTATGTTTTCACTTTTTAACCAGGCAATCCCATATCTAGGCATCTCCCCTGAAGACACAGCTCCACACGCCAAATCACATGCATGAGGACAGTTCTCGAGAAGTCACTTGTGACAGCAAGGCTGCCTTTCATGAGGGGACTGGTTGAGGGAGCTATGCCGCCTCCGCCCAATGGAGGATGCAGCCAGCAAAAGGATGCACACTGTCCCTGTGTACTGATGCGGCGCCACCACCAGAACATACTGATACATAAAACTGACTGTGGTACCTTTATGTAAGTCAAAAGAAAAATAAAAAAGATAAGTTCATATATTTATTTTTGCAAAAGAATAAAACAAAACACTGGAAGCACAGACCAGTAGCTAATAAAAATGATTACCTATGAGGATAGGGAACAGGTTGGAGAGGGATGGAAGTGAGAACTGCTGAATATATCGTTTTATACAGTTGCGACTTTTGAACCATATAGATGTTTACATTTTTAAAAAATATAATTAAGACAAAAATAAAGACAAACTCTAAAATTCACAGCTGAAACAAAGAAAGCCTAGCTATCTGTCAAATCCACAACATTAGCTCACAGAGAAAAGCTTGACTTCAAGTGACTTCATATGCTGAGTGACCATTCATCCTCAGTGGGACAGCCTTTAAGGGCAAAAGATACATGCAAAGAAATGAAACTTCAATCAGTAGTTTTACTGTTAGAAGTAACACATATTGGTATTATAATTTTTAAACTATTTTAAGTATACTGTGGGATAGAGAAAATAAGCAATTATGTTAACATAATAAGAAACCAAATGTCCAGCTTAAGAGAAAAGAGATACAATATAAGGTCAAATAAATTTACTGATTGGTTTTGATTCAGAAATATCAATATGGACTCAGGATCTTTGAAAACATATTTCCTAGGTCTGTCTACTGAAACAGCCTCTAAATAATGATAACTGAGGAGCACCATCAACACCCCAGCACCCAGATGTTGGTTTCTAAATCCTAATCCCCATTCAAAGAAACCAGGGCACCTCAGAGAAATGAACGAGTCCAGACCTAGGGCAAGGGAAGTATCAGGCGAACCTGGGAAACTCTGTTGTTCCAGAACGCAAAAAAGCATTCCAAGACTAATGGGCCATGGCAAAAGGAAGTTTGAGACAATGTGCGTGCTAAAGGCAACAATGACTATAAGTGATTTTAATACACAAATGAAGAGAAATCTATGCGTCTATACACAAGAAAGAAAAATGGAAAAATAATAAAGCTACAGGGGCAACTCTAACAGGCAGCTGAGGTTGGGAACCACTGCCTGCGTGAGGACGTTGAAGAGCTTTTTATCCAGTAAGTCCTGTTCTAGGATGCATCCCAAAGAAATAACCACCGTGCTGAGATGTAGCTGTAGCTACCACTCTATTGTTTAAAACAAAAAAACTGGAAATCGCCTAAATATCTAACCGAAGAAGAGTGGTTATTTAAAATACAATATATTCATGTAATGCAACCAAGTACAGCCAGAGTATGGCGGAATAGATGCGTATTTGCTGATGAGGAAAAATGTTTACATCGTTTTGTTGCTGAGTGAGAAAAGCAAATTATAACAGCAGCATGTAGACATAGTACCACATTTTTGTTTTTAAAATACAGCATGTGGGCCTGGCCCTGTAGCTGAGGGATTAAGTTTGTGCACTCCACTTCAGTGGTCCAGGGTTTCGCGGGTTCGGATCCTGGGCGCGGACATGGCACAGCTCATCAGGCCACACTGAGGTGGTGTCCCACATGCCGCAACTAGAAGGACCTTCAGCTAGAATATATAACTATGTACTGGGGGGCTTTGGGGAAAAGAAGAAGGGGGAAAAAAAGAAGACTGGCAACAGATGTTAGCTCAGGTGCCAATCTTTAAAAATAAATAAAATTTAAAAATATGGCATGTATATTTGTAAAAATTATGCATACAAAGACTATTATAATATACACCAAAATCAATCTTTTGTTGGCAGAATTCTGATCTTTTGTTTTTCCCGTTTTTGCCTGTCTCTGCTTTCTACAATGAAAATATAATACTTTTCTAAACACAATATATTAAAACTTAAATTTATAAAAGAGAGAGAAGGTTGTATCTATGGTGGGTACAGGAAGGAAAGGGCACTGAGGCACCGAAATGAGGGTCTGAAATTCCAGAATGGCTTTCTAAGGGAGCAGTGTGCTCCTGTGGCTACAGAAATGCCAGAGCAGCAGCAGTGACCTCTGACCGCCCCCACCCCGGCCAAAGGGCCTGGGCAGTGAGACAGTAGAGCAATGCCACCTAGTGGCTGCTGCTTGGCCCACTCAAGCCGACCTCTTTCTGGCTTGGGGACCCAAGGAATGGGGAAGAAGCCTGACGCTGCATCCCCCGTCCCTGTCCCATCCCAGTACCTGGGGAGCAAGAGGCTGGGTCTGGCACCTTACCGGCTGCATGGTGCCTCCTGCAATGACCACGGCCCGGCATTCCTTCACCACCTGGGCAAACGGCACGGCCGGATTCAGGAGCAAGAATTTGAGGCTGCTCTGACTGAGGCTGCCTGAAAAAAAGACAGAGAAGAGATGGTTACATGAGAAGGGGGCAGATGCTGGCCCAACAAAGACTTCTATCAGTCTGAGGCAAAGGGGATCTCCAGCTGGGACCATCAGAAGGCATAAGAGATATCACTTTCTCTTTAAATCAGATCCCAGGACAATGTCCTCTAGGACCACCCTGAGGTAGACAGCACTATTATCTTCCTTTTCACACAAGGAGTCTGAGGTTCAGAGAGATAAAACTGGTCCAAGTCATGTAGCTTGCAGGTGATAGAACCAAGACTCAAACCAAACCCCACTTAGCCTCAACCACCAGCTACATGGCTTCTCTTGTAACCTTGCCCAAGACGACCCGCATCCATCCTTGCCACCTCCGCCTCCCGCCCAGGTCACAGGAGGCCAGTTATCACCACCCTGCTTCTTCATCCTAACCCAGGGAGGTGCCAGGATAGAAGTAAAGAACCTTTCCCACTCTGGCTCCCCGGCTCCAGGCCGGCTCCTTCCTGGGTTACCTTGGCGGCTCAGGATGACCCTGCCGTCCTGGTTGGCAGTGGTGAGAGCTGCAAGGAAGCCTTCGATGTGCATCAGTGGGGAAGAAGGCCGCAGCGCCCTGGCCTCCCCCTCCTCTACAGGGGCTGCAGGAGCTGCACAGAACAGAAGGACGAAGAGGGTCTGAGACCACGGACGAGGGGGAGGGCCTCCCTGCAGTTGCACTAAAGCCATTCTGCAGGGAGATGAGTCCATGTGTGAGGAAGGAATGTTCTCGCCCAGGGCCTGCAGCCCAGTCTCTCACCCTCCTGACTCACTCTTTGTCACTTCAGGCTGCAGGCTCTGCAGGAACTGTTGGAACCCAGCCAGTCTGGGCTGCTCCCTGGAGGGTGCGAGGACTGCTCCATACTTTTCTGTGAAGCCAAAGAGCTGGGACAGAGATGAGAGAGCAATGGAGAGGAATGAGGGCAGCAGCAGCGAGAGGGAGGGTATGATGGACTAGAGGCTTCTAGTCTAGAGCCGGACCCCAGACAGCCCACAGCTTACCCCCACCACCAGGCATCCTGGCACTCCCTCCCCACCCCAGCAAAGCTGCTCAACTATAAGGAGAATGGAAACAAAGGTGACTCTGGAATTTCCAAAGGGCAGGAGAGAGAAAGGCACTGTGAGGGCAGCAAGCAGGGCTGCTGGATTCCTCCCAGGCTCCGAAAGGGGAGTAGGTACCTTTCTGCTGACCATGCTCTTCTCACAGTAGCGCTGCACCTGCAAAACCAAACCCGGCTGCAGACACTCGTAAACATTAATCAAGCTGGAAAAAAAGACAACCCCCTTCCAAAACCCCAAGAAGCATGATTCACCGCCACATCCTGAGGAGCCCAAAGCCTCCTTGTGGACGACCATGTCAACCTCCTTCCTGAGGTCACTCTTCTCCCACTGTCCCCACGCACAACACGGTGCTTCTCCCACGAGATGGACTCTGCCAAGCCACATGGACACGGCCTCCTCATAACCATGTGTGCATGGCTCTGACCCTCTCTAAAGGTGACGGTTACGTCCCCTCTGCTTTCCTTCAACGTGACAGCACCTAAACTGGACCTTGAAGGATTAAGAATTCGTTTAAAAAAGTCCTATGAGCAAAGCACAACGGAGGTAAAGCTCGGGGCTCGTTCGGGGTCATCTGGAGTAGTTTAGTTAGTGTGCACAACCTGCAGAGCTTCATATGCAAGACAATGAGTTTGGAGACTTTAAAGATTTCTGAAAAGAGTGATATCCTTCAATTAAGACTCGCTAGAGTGTAGTTCGTAAAAGACATTAGAAGTGAAAAAGAATGAAATCAGGACACCAGAAAGGAGGCAAGAGGAAAAAGTAGTGAAGCCTGCAGTGAAGTAGGAGCTGTGGGAATTAACGGGGGGTGAATTCAAGAGCTCTGTCAGGCTGTGGGCCTGGCCACTGCATGCATGCAGGACACAGAGGGGGAGAGGAATCAGACAACTCAGACTGCGAGCACATCTCATAGGGAATGGCAGTGACGGGACCAAGAGGAGTGAATTGGGGCAAGCTGGTTTGAAGAAAAAAGGCAGGGCAGGATGGAAAGAAAGCAGGTCTCCAGTCCCCACAGCTGGGTGCACACGCTGGCCCCCTCGTGTGTGGCCTGTGTGCATCGTCTTCCTGAGGTGACCTCGCCGAGCCGTGGGCTCCTTCGCTTTAGAATGGTGATGGGACATCCTACCTTAGTCACAGAACCTGCCGCACTGCCTTGAACACAATGAGCGCTCAGTATCATTAGTAAACTAGATTCACTAGGGTTGAGTCAAGCCACAGTGGCTGTCCCCCATCTGGGAGAGCACCGAATACATAGGCCTGGAGCAAGCAAAGAGCTAAGGCTGCAGTCATGAGAAGGGCCCACCTCAGCCTCACTGCAGGGTCATGCTCACAAAACCAACTTCCTGCTCTGTCCACAAGCCCAGGGGGAAGACTGTGCCGGCAGAGATGGAGTCTTGAGGAGGACCTGGGGGGTCTCTATCTGTGCTTGTTGGGTACAAAGAAAGGGACCTTCTCTCCCCAATTCCTACGACCCTTCAACCTAGATGGACTACTTTTTTCTTGCTGACACGTTGCTGTGTTTAAAGGTGAAATAACTACATACATCCGTGCTGTGGATCCCGGGACCTCTAGACTGTCTGAGGACAGGAGGAATTACTTTTTATTCCTTCCCTAGTCTTGACATAGCATCTGTCCACAGGTGGTGATCAGAAGGGAGCGTGATGGCTAACAGAGAAAGGTGAAAACCTCTACCTTGAACAGGTTGATGTTGTCGATCTGGCTCAGAAAGAGAAAGTCATTGATGGTCTTCAGCTCTGTCCCTAAGGGTACACAAACGAAAGGCTGGAGTCCTTGCTCTGAAGACCATGGCGTGCAGCTCCCCAAGGGAAGCTCAGAACCGGCTCAGGCCAGCTCTGGGCTTCTGAAGGCAGCCCTCTCACCTGTCTGCGAGAGGCGCTGGCTGTGGGGATTTTGCTTAATGTTCCCTGAAAAAGAGAATCGAAACAGGTCAGGATGGTGGTCTCCTAGAAAACCACCATCTTCTCACACTCTACACTGTACTCATCAAATAAGAGCATTCATATTTGAATAGATCTTTGCCATTTGTTGTACCCAAAGAACCCAGTGGGAGGACAGGAAATTCAGGGAGCCCCAAAATCTAACCCACAGGTTTGCATGTGGAGCCTATAGCCTTGTGATTTCATTCTTCTCATACATCCTCTAAGGAGGCAGGGCAGTGACCACCCCACTTTATGCAGGTGCAGGCAGGACATGCCCAGGTTGTATGGTGACCAGTGGCAAGGCAGAGATGGAAGTGAAGAGGACCAATGTGAGACAAAATTCCTCCAGAAAAATTCCCTGCTGGCCTCCTGGAACTTCAGCTTCTATGAAAGCTTTAAAGGGACTGCTGTACGGTAAAGGAAAGGGTATGTGGCACAGGATAATGCAAAGTATGGGGTCCGGAGCTGGAAGAGTCTAGTCCCTCTTGTGGCTCATGAACCACAGGCAGGTCAGGTCTGTGCTCCAAGCTTTAGCTGACTGGTCTATCAATGAGCGCTGCCATCCTCAGAGGAGCACACCAGAGAACTGCACTGTTAGATAAAATGTCACACATTCCTACTATTATTACTACCACCACCTGTGCAGTAGCATCTGGCAAAATAAAAAGGATTCAGTACAGCGGTAAATAAACTAGGATTCTAAAAAAAAGATCTAAGGTCAGACAATTCAACTAAGCCCTAAGAAGAATTTTCTAGATCAATGGCCAAGACAATTCCTGAGACACAGGAAACCCAGGTGCCCGAGGGGTAGGCTCAGCAGGCCGGGGCTCCAGGCAGGACGGTGCTCACCACCCAGCACGGTCACAAACTTCTCCAGCAGATACAGGATCTGCTTGATGTACATCAGGTTCTTGGCCTTCAAACGCCTCCTGAGGAAAAACCAACAGACGGCAAGTGGTGGGACGCCAACAGCAACTTCCCTTCCGAGTGCCCCAAGCTGAGGCCTTTCTGTCTGATGTCTCTCAGACTGGGTCACGAGACCCACAGAAAAGGCTGGCTGTTGCCCCAGGCCTTCACAGCCGGCTGTCCTGTCCCAAGCATCCTCAGCCCACGGCGGGTACATGCCACGATGAACCAGAAGGTGGAGAGCGCATTGGTCAGCCCTACACCGAGCCTGGTCAGAGGCGGCAACCCAAGCGTGTCCGCTCGGAGGCTGACTCGGGGCACCAAGGCAGAGCGGGATTTCCCCTTCCCTCTCAGGAGGCAGGCTCTCACCCGTATCGTTCCATATATTGGAGCAACTGGGAATGGGCCTGGCAGAGCTGGGGAGAGAAGAGAGAATGGGTGTGAAGGTAGACCAGGCTCTGGGCAAGCAGCCTAGGGCTGTGCCAGAGACATCTTATATTATGCTTAGAAAATGCCAACCCAGGACACACAGGAGGCAATCAAGGTGAAAAGTGGGGCTGGGTACAGACAAAAGGTATGTGTTCAAAGCCCCTTAGGCTGGTGGGAGCTGAGACAGGGGAAAGTAGGTTCTGCTACAGTGTCCTCTGTGGGTCAGGGGAAAAAGCAAGATGAATCTCTCTGCTCGTTTTTACTGGGCTAGGAAAAGATGTGTTCTCTATGAAGAGTGATGGTTCAAAGTAACCATCACATCCTGGCCTAAGGTCAACCCAGGTGTTGGTCAGTTGAAGTGATGGGATGTCATGTGGGCTGCAGGGTCAGAAATCAATGTCAAATTCCAGCTCCACACTTAGTAGCTGTGTGCCCTTAGGCATTCTGCTTAGATCTCTCTGAATCTCTGAGTTCTCAACGTAAAACAGAAACGGCAGCCCAATGTAGAGTCAGCGTGAAGATTAGAGATGCCTCGTGTGGTGGATGGCACATAATAGGTAATAAAATAGTGCTTTCAGAAATTTTGAGCATCCCTCAAGACAATATTAATAACAACATCCAACCACATGAGGACCCCTGCTTCTCTCATCCCATCATCCTGGGTTATGGAGAACTAATTGGTAGCATCCTGGGCTGGAGGGACTCAAGAAGACACAGGCTAGTGAAGAGCAAAGAAACATGCCACCTTGCCTAAGCTGGGTCCCCATAGTTCTAAGATCTGCTGGAAAGCCAGAGTCAGCCTCTGACGAGGCCACTGCCTTGACTCGGTGCATCCTCTACCCAGCCCCACCTCTGGGGGAATTCTGGGTCTCTCTGCCCCATGGCAGGCCCTGGCCCAGATAAGAGGCCGACCCACCTGCGAGCCGCTGACCTCCGCACTGTGGATGCCTGTGATGGTGTCGATCAGGTTGTGTGCCTCGTCGATGACCACCACCTGGCCCTGCAGCCGGATCCCTGCGGCCTGCCGGGTGGCCGCGTGCAACAGCATCTGGTAGGGCAGCACCACCAGCTGGCAGGAGGAGAGGGCAGCCCCCTGAGCAGGGCCAGGACTCCCTCCCACAGCAGGCTTGCCCAGCCTACTCTAAGTTTCTGGTGTGAACGGTTTCATTTCCTGCCCAGAACATGTGTAGGGACCTTCAAGAGAGAAGCTGTAACACAGCAATGTGCTTTTAGCAAGAGACCCTTCCCTCAGTTTACTGTGGAACATCAAATATATGAAACAGACAAAAGAGGAGCCAATCTGACTTCTGACTGAACCAAGGGTGGGAGTGGGGATGAGAGTGGAAGCCCTGCTGCTGAGCCTCACCCATGCCCCCAAGGTAGCCCCTGAGCCACCCAAGCTTCCTCAAAACACTGTGAAAACCACTGGCATACCAGAAAGCAGCCCTGGAACTGCCACTTCCCAGCTGTATGACTCTGAGAAAGTCACTTAACCACTCTGAGCCTTGGTTTCCTCATCTGCAAAATGGGCTTGATAAACTCTATCTCAAATGAGGGTTAAGGAGTGGAGGTCAGGGTAACAAAAATAAAAGCACTGTAAATTTTTTAGGTGCTACATTGTTAAGACAATTTTCCAGTTAAAATACTGATGAAGTGAAAATCCAGAAAAGTGGAACCTTCAGGCCCAGGTTTTCATACTGGCTCCGTCACTCACTTGCTGTGAGAAAACAGATAAATCATGTCCCCTTTCAGGGCCCCAGGGTCCCCACATGTAAAATACGGAGAATCCCCGCCTTAGCTATTTCAGCGGGATCCCCTAAGAGCAAAAATGAGGTGAAAGTGCCTCACAGAGTCAAGATCATAAGAATTCCAGGATATCTCCTATATCTGCACACAAGTGTCGGCAGCACTGATCTGGCACTGTGGCAAGCAGACCGGGGAAGGGCGTGAGACGGCGGCGAGACTGGGAGGGCTCCGGAGTTCCCCTGGGAGCACCCCCACAGGGTTCAAGGTAACAGACTGACGAGCATTTAATGCCGTGTAAATGTTATTACTAACATAGTTCCCTGCACCTTTTAAAATCTACTTAAATCTTTTCTTGATTATACAGAATTCTCCACGAATGATATTCTACTTCCAAAAGTCACTCAAATTAAGGAAGTAGCAAGCAAACAGTGAAATCATACCCACCAAATAACAATGATACCATTTTTGACCTGTCAAATTAGCAGTTTTTCTTTCTGTTTCAAGATAGCACTCAATATGGGAAGTCTAGAGAAGATGGTATTCTCGTACGCCGCAGGTAAGTGCGGCTGGACAGTCACTCTGAGAGGCCATTTGGAAACAGAGCCACGTCCTGTAGCTCCCTTACTGCATTCCTCAGTTTCTGCCCTGGCATCCCCTCCCGTGGTTTCACTAGGAATGCACGTTCCTTCCTGGCTCTAATCTGCTGTCACCCAATAATACCAACTGTCCCTGCAGCCCAGGGCCACCAAGGGACCTGGATCTTCCTCCCACCCTCTGTACTAGGAGAGTGGTTACGTGTCATCTGCACGCTGTGTGTCGGTCAGTCCAACCACAGCTGATGGCATCCTCCTGAATTGAAAGAGGAGCGACGAATTCCCTGTGGCCCAGTCTGCAGTCAGAGCCAAGAGCTACTGCCCAACCCTCCAGGTCTTCACCTGGGCTGCTGGAATGGCGAACCGGCTCCCGTAATAGGGACAGGCGTGAGCCTCCTTCCCCAGGGTCACCAACTGCTCAATGTCCTTCACCTCCACCAGCACCTCGTCCCGGAGGAGCTGCAGCTGCTCGTAGTTGTAGAAGGGGCAAGTGGCCCGTGGCTCCTGCCTTCTCTTCTTGGGCTTCTCTTCCTCAGCTTCGCTCTTCCTCTCTGAGGGGGGCACAAGCGGGGCGGGGCGGGGAGGCAGCAAAGGCAGAGAGAATGGTAACTGTCTATGGGGCCAGGAGCAGGTGTGTAATGTCAAGACTCCATGGGCCGGGGGCTGCAAAACCTTTCCAAGTACTGCTTATTAGGGTCTCATCACAACATGCTGGTATTTCACTTTGTGTCCTCCAGAAAAAGCCTAAAAAATCATCTCAAAGCCAGGGTTTTGGACAAGACAGTGACCCAGGAAACAAGACGCCTTTGCCCAGGAGGGCGTCTTTCAGCAGGAACCAGGGGTCTGCTCTGCCTTCATTTACACTGAAGACATGTCTTTAGTTCCTGTGTCCCTGCCACCCACTCTTTCCCAGCACTGCCCGAGGCTACGCAACGGTCCCCAAGGCTCTCCACAGCTCAGGGTGGGCGCTACCGTGCTTGTTTCTCTGCATCTCCACGCAACGGTCGTTGATGAGCTGCACAGAGCCCAGGTGTCTCACGTCTTCGTTTACACAAAGGTTCTACAAGACAGAGGAGGTAAAAAGGCAAAGAAACAGTGCTGGCTAAATGCCATACAGTGAGCCCCCCGGGCCTGCCCAGCCCAGCCCTCCTCTTTGTTCCCTTCCAAGGACCGGCAAGGCCAGGGAAGGGGCTGACCTCCCATCATGTCCCTGTGCCTGCAGGAGGAAGGCAGAGGCCGAGGGAAGGGAGCAGCACACACCTGGGCTGACACACCCTGTTTACCTGCCGAGAGCCGAGGGAGACGAGCCGGGTGTCCTTACCAAAGGGGCTCTTCTGCACCTCGTGCACAAACTGGGACAGCTGGGAGTGCGTCCGACTACAGTAATAAATCTGCTCAGAGGACAAGAGGGATCTCAGGAGACTGTAGGATCTCCAAATACTCTCTGAAAGGCAAGAAACGCCAGGGCCTAGGGGCTCAGAACAGGGAGAGTGGCCACAAATACTCAAACCTAAAGCAAGGTGGCTCCATCCCATAGCAGATCTCAGCCAATGCAGGGCCAAGGGAGTCCCTGCCCCACCCTCAGCACCAGACGTGCAGGAGGACACCCACAAGATGGGGCTCCTCCCCAGAGGCACCCTCAGCCTCTAACCCCCCTGCTGGGAGGGCTCGATCATCTCAGGAAAGGCGCTTCCCCTCAGCGGTGACTCTTGAGATGGAAAAGATTCTCAACACTCTAAGGAGCGTGCGGGGGCAGGGGGGTTCCACACACGTCTCCCAAAGACATGGAAGACGGGCGGGTAGTGGGGCGGGAGACGTCTAGCTGAACTCTCTGTCTCTCTGTACCCCTCTACAGTTTACAAGAGGAGGGGAAAAGAAACAAATGGAGGGGGGAATCTTAATTTCAACAGAGAGAACAAAAGTCTTACATAAATGAAACCAAATGTTTTTAAATGTGAGAGGTGCCAGAACCACAGGTACCTCACAGCACTCCAAAAAGTGAAAACACAGGCAAAGGAAGACAGGGACATGTCATCAGAGCTCCAGAGGGCAGAGTGCTCCTGCTCTGGCCTGCCCCTCACCTTCCGCGCCCCAGTGGAGGGAGAAACCATCAGTCCTTGGCCCAGAATGGCTGCTCCTCGATGCCCTGGGGCACATAAGCCCAGGCATCGCCCCCCAGAGAGGTCTCCCGGGGGCCCAGCCCAACCCGCCACGTGAGCACCTGACAGCAAGGTCTGGGTCTGCAGAGCCACAGAGTCAGTGAGTTGGAGGTTCTTCATCGACGAGAGGCTGAGAAGCAGCCAGAGGGACTCTTGCATTCTCCCAGGGATGGAGCCCTGGACTCGGGACAAATCACAAGAGAATCCCAGGACACAGCGTCTTACCTTAGTTACATGTTCTTCCTCCAGGTCATCCTCATCCTTATCTACTCTGAAGAAGCAAAAAAAAAAGACAGAAGAAACAGTCTTCTCAGCAAACGCAGCAACTGAAAACACGTTTACTGAGCATCTACCAAACACCAGCAACTAGCCCTCCTTTTCCTCAGAGGCCAACAGAAGTGAGGTCTGAGCTCTGAGCCAGAAGGAAACAGACACGCATCCCAGCAACGAGGTTCCAGCACAGCAGCAGGTGCTCGCTTGCCCGCTCGGTCAGTCACCCATGCTAACACCAACCCCGCCCACTGCCCGCAGCAGAGAGAGGAGAAAGGCGCACCGCATCCCCAAAGCCCAGGCTCTGTTCCACTGTCTGTCTCCGAAGGCTGCTCTCCCCTCACTGTCCACCCTCCAGCAAACTGGACTTCTCTCAGTTCCCAGAGAGCTTGGCTCTTTACCACCTCAGAGCCTCGGACACACGCTTCTCCTTGCCGGAATGCCCCCTCCCCTCATCTCCCTTGACCTAGCCAACTCCTAGTCAACCTTGAGATCTCCACATGAGCATCACCCTCTCTGGGCATCCTTCCTCGTCCTCCCTTGGTAGGCTCAGCTGCCCTGTGACACACGGCCACAGCCCCGGCACCTGTTCTTTGTAATACCCATCTCATTCCAAATCACTCATTCTTGGTCTGTCTCCCCCTGCAGACTGTCAAGTCCACAGGCAGGACCGGGTGTGTCTTGTTTCTGTGGAGCACCAGGGCTCCCACCTGGAGTGGACTGAGTGAATAAAAGATGCTGGCGCTCAGGACCAAACAAACCTCTTCTCAGTGCCTCAGTCTGCCCTTTCTAGAAACGAATTCAGAGCCCATCAGCACTGGGGGGCTGGCAGGAAGGCCAACTCTGCATTACACGGCTGAATGTTTATCAACCTTACTAGCCTTGGCTCCTTAGAAAACACAAAATTCTTTTACAGATACACTCTATCTACAGGGCCAAAATATGGATCGTTTTTGTTCACCTAGCAATTCAATTTTTTTTAAAAAAACAGAAATGCAATTAATCGCCTTAGGCTATGAGAAGAGGAATTATTTATAGGGGTGGCTTCCTGGCCAATAAGGAATTGCTCAGTCAGCTGTGTCTGAGAGGCCTGGATTTAGATCACGTGCCACATGGCAAACAAAGTGAGCGGGATCTAGGTGAGGAGAGAGATGTGAGAAGAAATGAAAAGCAGAAATTTTGTATTCCTAATTGGTTGTGCCCTCAGAGGGGCTTGTGTCTCTCTTGAAATGCCAGGGCATCGGACGCTGTAGAGGCTCCTCTGCAGGATTAATGGCTCCTCCCAGACCCAAAGGAGCACTCTGTTTCTCTAATATTCACCAACTCCACTCACGCTCTTTATCTTGTCCCCAAGGGGCTCTAGAACAGAAGCGGAAGAGCAGGCAAGCACTCTTGGAGGCAGGTGGGAAAGCCCTGTCTTCACAGAGCAGAATGCATGGAGCAGTCCAGACATCTCAGCCCTGGGCACAGTCAAAAGTTTTAGTTTTGCCAGGTCCTGAAATCTGTGCTTAAGGGAGGGCACTGAACACCAACAAAGAAAAGCCCAGGACCAGATGGTTTCACTGGCGAATTCTACCAATATTTAAAGAAATACGCCAATCTTTCTCAAATTCTTCCAGAAAACTGAAGAGAAGGGAACACTCCCAAACACATTTCACAAGGCTAGCATTACTCTGATATCAGAGCCAGATAAGAACACTATAAGAAAAGGAAACTACAGGCCAATGTCCCTGATGAATATAGACACAAAAATCCTCAAAGAAATACTAGCAAACTGAATTCAACAACACATTAAAAGGATCATACACCACGATCAAGTGGGATTTATCCCTGGGATGCAAGGATGGTTCAACGTATGCAAATCAACAAATGTGAGATACCACATTAACAGAATGAAACAAAAACCATATGATCATCTCAACAGACACAGAAAAAGCATTTGATAAAATTCACATCCTCTCATGATAAAAACTCTCCACATATTGGGTATCAAAGAAATGTACCTCAACACGATAAAGGCCACATACGACAAGCCCACAGCTAACATCATACTCAATGGTGAAATGCTGAGGGAATTTCCTCTAAGATCAGAAACAAGACAAGGATGCCTACTCTCACCACTCCACTCAACATAGTACGAGAAGTCCTAGCCAGAGCAATCAGGAAAGAAAAAGAAAACATCTGAATCAGAAAGAAAGAAGTAAAATTGTGTGTTCATGACATGATTTCACATATAGAAAACCCTAAACACTTCACCAAAAAACTGTTAGAACTAATAAGCAAATTCAGTAAAGTTGCAGGATACAAAATCAACATATAAAAATCAGTTGCATTTCTATATAGTAACAATGGACTATCTGAAAAAGAAATAAAGAAAACAATCCCATTTATTTTAGCATCAAGAACAATAAAATACTTAGGGGTAAATTTAACCAAGGAGATGAAAGATCTGTACGCTGAAAACTATAAGATACTGATGAAACAAACTGAAAAAAGAAGATACAAATAAATGGAAAGATATCCTATGTTCTTAGATTGAAAGAATTAATATTGCCAAAAGAGTCCATACTACCCAAAGCCATCTGTATTCAATAAAATCTCTATCAAGATTCCAATGGTATTTTTTACAGAAGTAGAAGAAACAATCCTAAAAATGAAATTAAACCACCAAAGACTGAATAGCCAAAGAAATCTTGAGAAAGAAGAACAAAGCTGGATCTCAAAGCTATACTAATCAAAACAGTATGGTTCTAGCATAAAAACAGACACATAGACCAATGGAACAGAATTGAGAGCCCAGAAATAAACCCATGCATATATGATCAACTAATGTTTCAAGGCAGCCAAGAATACTCAATGGGGAAAAGACAGTCTCTTCAATAAATGGTGCTGGGAAAATGGGATAGTCACATGCAAAAGAATGAAAGTGGATACCTATACCATTCACAAAAGTTAACTACAAATGGGTTAAAGACTTAAATCTAAGACCTGAAACCATAAAACTCCCAGAATAAAACATAGGGAAAAAGCTCTTTGACACTGATCTTCGCAGTGCTTTTTTTGGATATGACACTAAAAATACAAGCAACAAAAGCAAAAATAAACAAGTGGGACTACAGCAAACTAAAAAGCTTCTACACAGCAAAGAAACCAACAAAATGAAAAGGCAACCTACGGAATGGGAGAAAATATTTGCAAACAACAGATATGATATGGGGTTAATATAAAACATATAAAGAACTCCTACAACTCAATAGCAAAATATCAAATAATCCAATTAAAAAAATGGACAAAGGACTCAAATGGACATTTTTCCAAAGAAGACACAAATGGCCAACAGGTTCATGGAAAGATGCTCAACATCACTAATCATCCAGGGAAACGCAAATCAAAAGCACAAGGAGAAATCACCTCACACCTGTTAGGATGGTTATTATCAAAAAGACAAGAGGGGCCAGCCCAGTGGTGCAGTGGTTAAGTTCACACCCTCCGCTTAGGCGGCCCAGGGTTCATGGGTTCGGATCCCAGGTGTGGACCTAGACACCACTCCTTAAGCCATGTTGTGGCAGCATTACACATACAAAATAGAGGAAGATTGGCACAGATGTTAGCTCAGTGCTAATCTTACTCAAGCAAAAAAAGAGGAAGATTGGCAATAGACGTTAGCTCAGGGCCAATCTTCGTCACACACACACACAAAAAGATAAGAGCTAATAAATGCTGGCAAGGATGTGGAGAAAAGGGAACCCTGGTGCACTCTTGGTGGGAACAAACTGGTGCAGCCACTATGGAAACTAGTATGGAGGTTCCTCAAAAATTAAAAGTAGAACTACCATATGATCCAGCAATCCCATTTCTGGGTATTTATGCGAAGGAAACGAAATCACTCTCTCAAAGAGACTGGTGAGTCCCCATGTTCATTGCAGCATTATTCACAATAGCCAAGACATGGAAACAACCTAAGTGTCCAATGACAGATGAACAGATAAACAAAATGTGGTATCTACGTGTGTATATATGCATACATATATATATATATATATATATATATATACATACACAAACACACACATACACAAACAGTGGAATATCATTCAGCCATAAAAAAAGAAGGAAATCCTGACATTTGTGGCAATATAGATGAACCTTGAGGGCATTACGCTAAGTGAAATAAGTCAGAGAAAGACAAACGCTGTATGATCTCATGTGTGGAATCTAAAAACCCAAACTTGTAGAAACACTGAGTAGATTGGTGGCAACTGAGGTGGTGAGGCGGAATGAGCGGAAGTGGTCAAAGGGTAAAAACTTGCAGCTATAAGATGAATAAGTTCTGGGGGTCTAATGTACAATGTGCAGTATGACCACTATAATTACCAGCACTCTACTGTGTACTTGAAAGTTGCTAAGAGTAGATCTCAAAAGTTCTCACCAGACACACACACACGCATGCGTGCACACATGCACACAAATGGTAACTAAGGTGATGGATGTATTAACTAACTTTATCGTGGTAATCATTCTGCAATGTATACATATATCAAATCATCACGTTGTACACCTTAAACTTATGCAATGTTGTATGTCAATTATATCTCAATAAAGCTGGGACGCTGGGTGTGAAGTTAGAGGTGGCAGCCAAGTTAGAAGGTGCTTGGCAGACAGACTGAAGGAGTGTGGATTCATCCTTCAGGAGACAGCTGATGGAGGGTTTCAGGCCTTGGAGTTACACTCCAGACACACAGGGTGTCAACGAGAACACGGGACACATGGGACCTGGAGTCATCTTTTGAGGAGCCGGAAAGACTTCTTCCAAACTGGCGGCCTGAGAGGGATGATCTGTAGGAGCACTCATGCTTTTGGGGAAGAACCACTGAACTTCAAGGCTGTAATGAGCTTTTAATGCCCAAATCAGATCACATCACTCCCCTGCATGAAACTTCCCACAGCCTCCCTGAGACCAGCAGCCAAACCCCTGGGCGGCCCGTGAGGCCCAAAGAAACTGACAGCTGCCTCATCTTCGGCCTCTTCTTTCTCTCTCTTCCTCATCCACTCTGCTTGGCACCTAGGCCTTCTTTCTGTCCTTCCAAGACGCCAAACCCGCTTCTGTTTCCAGACCACCACACTCGCAGGCCTCTGACTAGAACTCTCTTCTCCCAGGTCTTTCATGATGGCTCCTTCTCATCCTTCAGGTCTTGGCTCAAATGTCACCTCCTCGGAGGGTCCCTCCTGACTTCTCTACCTGGAGGTGCAGCCCCTACTCTTCCCACTTTATCCTGTTTTATTTCCCTCATAGGTAAATGTGCTAATTCCAATAAGGCTATCTGTCTTCACGCTTACTGTCTGCTCCCTCCACTAAATGCAAGCTCTCTGAGGGCAGGGCTCATGTCTGTCTTATTCAGCTCGATACCCACAGCATCTGGCAATGTGCCACACCTGGAGCAGACACCCAAGGGCATTTGTGAAACTACAGCGTGAATGAAAAAGGAGGCCGTCATGATGGGCAGTGTGGTCCAGGGATCCTAGCTGTTCTCTCCCAGGTTTTCTAGCCCACCCAGGAGGTTATGGCCCATAAATTAAAAACCTAGACATCTGGGCCAACAGAAGCCTTAAGATGAAAAGAAAAACTCGGCTAAGGATACCTTGATGGTTTATGTCATAAACTTTACACCATTTGGTTTAGTGGCTGAGAGCGTGAGATTTAGAGGCAAACCAGTTGGGTTCAAGTCTCAGCTCCTCCCCTTCCTGGCCTCATGGCCTCGGCCAAGGCAGAGCATCTTTCTGGGCCGCAGTTTCCTTGAGCGTAAAGTGGAGACACAAATATCATTGGTGAGGATAACAGAGTTGATAGTTGTGAAGCCAGTGCCCCGCATAGAGAGGAGGCTGGCTTTCACTGTCATCATCATTTATGCACCTTAAGGAGGAGCCTGGCTGAGAGAAAGGGGCAGGTGGCCAGCATTCCATCCCTTCAGACGCCTCAGAGTGACAAAGAAGCCTGCCCCTCTCTGGGCAAAAGGGAAGGAGCTGCCTCCCTGGGAGCCCCCATGCAGACCTGGGCAGGGCAGTGGGTGGGGAAGTGCTGTCTTACCCACTAGCTGTTCCTTTCTCCTCATCACTCTCGTACTCTGCGAGGACCAGCTCCTCCTCCCCAGTTAGCTGCTCTAGCTGCTCCGCCCCTGGTCCTCCTGCCAGCATCTCTCGGCTGAGGCGGAGGAGGCGCTCAGTTTCTTCTTCTTCTTGTCTCTGTATACAGCATTGCAGATGGGGAAGGATTGCAGATGGGAAAAGCAAAGATATCTCAGTACTGGTGCCCCCACCTCCTTGCTGGAGGCAGCCTCAGAGTGGTGGAGAATTTAGCCAGTGGGGGTCAGGGAGAGGACACTGAGGTCTGGGCCACTCCCCAAAGAAGAGACACTACGAGGACCAAGCCACATGACACTGCCTGGACAACATCCCGGCTACTCCAGGAGAGGACACTCACCACGCGCTTGGCTGCATGCTTGAGCTGTGCATTGTGGCGGATCTGCCGCAGGCGTTCTTCTCGCTTTCTCCTCCTAACCCGCTCCTCCTAAAGAGGAAGTGGCCATAAAGGAAACTCCTGTAGGAAGCCCCAAACCGGGCCTTTCTTCAAGAGTCTGGGGCGCTCAGCCCAGGGCCTCTTCACACGGGGCAGTTCTCCAACTCCAGGCCCACACTCAGGGTACTAAAGCATCTCATCACCAGGCCCTGAAGCTCGCCAGGTCCTAGCCTCGCCACTCACTGCAGGAAGTCTGCGTTCTCCCTCCCAAAGCCACACACCCTCAATCAAATTCATTCCTTAACTGAGTTTCCAGCTGCTGAACCATGTTGCCAATAGCAACAGTGAGGTTCCTTTCCCAGATGGGTAATGAATGGGAACCCCCAACCCCTTGTCTAGAGAAGGCCTGTTGACATCAGCTTAAAAAAGACAGTAAGGGGTGCTGGCCTGGTGGCTTAGTGGTTAAGTTCATGCACTCCCCTTTGGCAGCCCGGGATTCTCAGGTTTGGATCCTGGGCACAGACCCACACACAGCTCATCAAGCCACACTGTGGTGGCATCCCATAGACAAAGTAGAGAACCACTGGCGCAGATGTTAGCTCAGTGGGGGGGAGAGGGAGGGAGGGAGGGAGGGAGGGAAGGAAGGAAGGAAGGAGGGAGGGAAGGAGGGAGGGAGGAAGAAAGAATGAAAAAGCAAGTGTGACCACTGATTCAAGAAAGCCAACAGAAGAGCAAAGGCAGAGCACATATGACAGGTCAATCTCAGCATCAACCCCAAATCATAATCATTCCCCCCGGATCCTACCTGGAGGCGGTCCACCAAGTCCCTTTCTTCCTTCTTCTGCACGAACTGAGCAACCCAGTCAGGTTCCCCAGCAGGCCTCAGGACATCTGGGGTCTCTTGGCAGGAGGATGAGAGAGACGGGGGCTGGTCCTTCCCAACTTTTAAGGGAAGAGTTCCCGTTTCAAGGAGACGAGCCTCCTCTTGACGTTTCTTCTGTTCAAAGTCACGGAGCCAGGAAAGGGCCCCACAAATAAGACTTAGGGATTTTCCCTATAGGAAGGAAAACGTTTTCAGAAATACAGAACAGAAAACAAAGCTTCCCAAACAAGCTTTCCCATTTTAATAAAGCCTACAAGGAAGGTCTGACTTTCTATAGGAAAGTGTGCTTAAAGACCAGCCTGGGAAAGAAAGGGAGGAATTAGCGAGAGAGTAGCCAGGAAAAATAGGAAAAAGGGAGAAGATAATGAAGCTATGTATTTAATTACACAGCACACCGCTCCTAAAAGTATTTACAGTGGCTCATCAGGTTACATATAAGTACTACAAGTTAACATAATTAGAAGAAGGTGAGATATTAAATAATAGCCCCAAAAAAGAATTAAGGCCAAGTGACGCATAGATAAAATCCTTTCTACCTGCTGAGGGAAAGCCACATTCGGCTCTACGCTTCAATGCAGCCAGTGTGCAGAAAGAACACCATCAGTCCTGTGACTCCCAGCGTTCAAAATCTTTTAAAGCAAACCCATCACCCCGGAGAACACAATTCTTGATTTAAAGACTAGAATTTTCCCTGTGGGTCCTTGTTATGGCTTGAACTGCCCCCCAAAAATTCAAAGTCCTAAACCCCAGTGTCTCAGAAGGTGACACTGAGAGAATGAATTTCTGTTGTGGGACTCTGTTATGGCAGCCCAAGCAGATTAACACAGTCCTTCTAGAGAAGCTCCCACAGTGAGGTTCACAGGGCAGTTGCTGCTGGTGTCCAAAGGGCGATTCAGCTCCGGTGAGTCTCTGGAGGGGACAACACCTCTGGTCCAGGCAGTGAGCTCTCCGAGCCTGCTTAACCTAGGGGGGATCGCAGAGCATCCAACGACAAGACAAAGTGCTCTATTAGGGGTGGGACTTAGAAGACATCAGAGTGTGAAGGGTAAGTGAGGCACACAACAAGGAGAAGAGGCCACAGAATCAAGAGCACCAACCATGAAGGGCTGAGCAGAGGAAGAAGATGCACGGGATGGATGGGCAGAGGGCTGAGACGGAAAAAGAGAGGAGGGAGGAGACGCGCCTTCAGGTAAACGAGGTAGAAAGAACACGTGCTCGTCTGTCCTCTTCCAAAAACGCTAAAATTACACTAAAGGAATAAAGAGGCTTACAGCCATAAAGAAAGCGGAAGAAGTGATAGTAATGGAAAGCAGAGAAATGGAACAGACTTAGCAGAGTAAAGGACACTGAGCCTAGCGGCCCTCGGAGATCTCCCAGTTCCCCCACAGAAACACCCCAAAACCTGCAGGGCTGCGGCACGGTGCTGCAAACCAAGGGATTAACTGAAATTCTTTTATAGAATGATTAGATCCCCAGGTTGCATCCCACTCCTCAAAGAAGACAGAAAGTTTATTCTCTGGGGGAGGTGAGCCAGGAGAGCCCCAGAGAGAACAGGTCAAGTAAAGAGGAGAGAGAGGGCCAGGCTGAGAGCAGGGCATTAAGTGAAAGACTACAGCTGAGGCCACCTCCCTAGGACACCCTCAGGAACACTGGCTGTCAGGCTTGGATCCATGAGGCAAGAGTTTAATGGAGCCCTCTCTGGAAACACGGAATGGTTCCAGGAAAATCCTACTGACACTGACAACTGGAGGCCCCAACAGAGGCCCAGCCCCTCAGTCCCCAAGCCAGGCTGCACCACAGGCCTTTCACTCACTCTTGTAGTGGCTTTTTCTTGAACTCCAACAGAAGACAGCCAGACATCTAAGGAAAAGCTTCCAACAAAACACACAACCCTGGGAAAAAGCTTCAAAATACTACTATAATTGATAGTCTCAGACAGTTATTTCCATGAAACAAAAACAGGATGCTATTTTTAAAAGTCAGAGAGAAAAAAAAAAAGAAGGAAATCTCGCTTTTTGCGACAACATGGATGGATCTTGAGGGCATTACGCTAAGTGAAATAAGTCAGACGAAGAAAGACAAATACCATATGATCTCAATTATACGTGGAATCTAAAAAAAAGCGAGCTCACAGATACAGAGAACAGATAGTTGCCGAGTTGAGGGGAGGGCAAATTGGGTGAGGTGGTCAAAAGGTACAAACTTCTAGTTATAAAATAAATAAGTCCTGGTGGTGTAATGTACAGCCTGGTGACTACAGTTAATAACACTGTATTGCATATTTGAAAGTTACTAAGAGAGTAAATCTGAAAAGTTCTCATACAACGAAAAAAAATTTGTAACTATACAGTGATGGATATTAACTAGACTTACTGGTGTGATCATTTCACAATGTACACAAATATTGAATCATTTTGTTGTACATCTGAAACTTATATAATGTTATATGTACATTATACCTCAATAAAAAATCATTAAAGAAATTAAAATCTTGAAAGAAATCAGAGAATAAGAACAAGTTCTTAAATATTAAAGATATGATAGCAGAAATAAACTGAATAGAAAGACTGGGCAATAAAGTTAAAAGAAATCTCAAGAAAGTAGAATTTAAAATAAAAAACAAACCAGGGTGCCCAAAGAGATGGGCAATTAGAAGAAAACATAATTACAGGATTAACCAGGGAGTCCAAAACCCAATGAATGGGAGCACAGGAAGATTACTATCAAATACAAGAAAATGTCTCAGAACTGAAAGGTGGCAGCCCAGATGGAAAGGCCGGCACAAGGAATTAACCACACGCACACCAGGCCCATCGACACGAGACTTCAGAACACAAGGAGCAAAGACAAGGTTCTGGGCTCTCTGGAGGGTGGGGTGGGGTCAGCTCACGAAGGACTAAGGTGCAAACTGCCGCTGGACTTCTCAATAGCATCACTGAAACTAAAGGGGCAATCGTGAAGGAAGATTGTTTTGAAGCTAGAATTATATACCCAACCAAACCATCAATATCAATCAAGTGAAAAGGTAGAATTAATACCTTTTCAGACCAGTAAAGTCTCAAATACTTACCTCCTACACAACTCTTCTCAGGAACATTCTCTACCAAAACAAGGAAGTGAACCAAGAAGATACGGAATCCAGGAAACAGAGAATCCAACACAGAAAAAATGAGGAAAGAATACACATAACAACATGGATGAATCCTAAAAATATTAGGCTGGCTGAGCAAAAGAAGCCAGACACAAAAGAGTACCAGGAAATTCTAGACAGATAAAATGAATCTACAGGAACAGAAAGTGGATGAATGACTGCCAGGGACGGGAGTGAGGTGGGGTGGCAGTGGGGGAACAGCAGCAAGGACCCACTGCCAAGAGGCACAAGGAACTGTTTGGGGCAATGGAAATGTTTTGCATCTTGATTGTGGTGGTGGTCATGAGTGTTTCCTTACGTCAAAACATTGAACTTGTAGACTTAAAAGGGGTACATTTTATTATACATCAATTATACTTAATAAAGCTATTTTTTTTAAAGGAGAGAAGGGAAATCCACGACAATAGCTGTGAAGTAGGTCTAAGGAGCGACTCATTCAGATTAGAGCAAAAGGACGGAGGACTTCAAGAAGGAAGTCTCCGGGGTAAAAAGGAATTGATAATCACTATGGACTGAACTGTGTCTCCGCAAAATTCATATGTTGAAACCCTAACCCACCCACCATGTGACTGTACTGGAGAAAGGGCCTTTAAGATGTGATTAAGTTAAATGAGGTCATAACAGGGAGCGCTGATTCTGCTAGAACCGGCATCCTTATAAAAGGAGCAGACACATCAAAGATCTCTTTCTCCCCGCCACGTGAGGACACAGAGAGAAGGCAGCCGTCTGCAAGCCAAGAAGAGTCCTCACCAGAAACCAGAGCCTGCTGAAAACTTGATCTTGCACTTTCTGGCCTCCAGAACTGTGAGAAAATAAATTCGTGTCGTTTAAGCCACCCAGTCTATGATATTTTGTTATGGCAGCCCAAAGCAGTAATTTTATGTATGGAATATCGTATCGGGAGACCACTGGATGGTGTGAGAGGAACTGGCACAGGTATAGTAAAAACTGAAACTTTTAAGAGGCAATTAATAATTCTAGAAAAACAAAAAAACTGTTCAAGAAAAAAATAATCATAGCATACTGACTTAGCAGAGACTAAAACTTTTAATATATACATTGGGAGGGTGGGGAGAGGGTGAGAAAAGAGATGGTAGGAAAGCTGTATCTTATCTACCAATAGGGAAAGGTACCAGTGATTAAAATCCAAGAAATAGCAACATAAGCTTATAACTTCAAAACATGCTATACAAGCATATTTCTTAAGAAACAGTTAAAAGAATTAAAAGTGCCTCCCAAGGAACCAAGTTTGATAAATTAGACTTTTTAAATAACATGCATTATTCTTTAATTAAATTTTGTGAGGCCGGCCCCGTGGCCGAGTGTTAAGTTCACACGCTCTGCTTCAGCAGCCCAGGGTTTCGCAGGTTCGGATCCTGGGTGCAGGCATGGCACCGCTCATCAGGCCATGCTGAGGCAGCCTCCCACATGTCACAACTGGAAGGACCCATAACTAAAAATATATACAACTATGTACCGGGGGGCTTTGGGGAAAAGAAGCAAAAATAAAATCTTAAAACAAAAAAAGAGTAAAGTTTAAAAAAGAAAATTCATATATTACTTTAAACAAAGGAGGAGGATATGTTCAACAAGAGAACAAGCTACAGAGTGGTCGGGTAAGGACCCGAAATATCAGAATCTGTTAACTGGGAAGTCATTACTGACCCTCAAAAATATTTCAGTGGGTTGGTAGGGGAAGAAGTCATGTTGCCCTGGGTTTAAATGGAAGGTAAGAAGGCTAGTAGAATACTATTTAAAGCACAAAACACTCCACATGTTATATTCATCACCCACATTTTGTTAACTGGCAGGACTTATTCCCTCCCACTCACTGTATATGAAAGAACAAAATGGAACAACGGAGTACTCCAGTCTGCACTCTTCTGTCCCACGAGACCGTGTCATCTTCAGAGAGAGTGACACACTTCCATCAGCAAGTGAGAGAATAGGGACAAGTCACTTTCTTTTATTCACTCACTCAACACACGCGTATTAAGAGCTTCCTCTGGGCCAAACCTGCCGAGCTCTGCTAAATGACAGGGACAGAGGTAAGGAGCACAAGGTCCTTATCCTCCAGGAGGCCCAGCTTTGCTGCGGTACCTTCACGTCAACATGCGTATTTCACTCTCACACAGTACTTGCTAGAAAAGGTAATAAAGTGCACAAGAGAAGTGGAAACGGGTCAGCACAGCCAGAATAATCCTCAATGGCCGGCCTGTAGTAAACCCTCCCTCATTCCAGGCCAGGAAGGAATTAGAGGCCCTTGATTGGACCCCTCCAGCACTCAGTAACCTAATTCCTGGAGACCAAACCAGTATGTTTAATCTTTGAATAAACCACAGTAATTTCTATGTTGCTCAACATGGCAGTAATTGTGTGCCTGAGAAATCTGAGAAGTTTCAGTGCTATGGGTCATGGTTTCCACTGTCACTCAAACTCTCATTTGCATTTACCTAATTCTTCTCAGACCCTGGGGCTGTGTTTAACAACTTAATAGAGCGAAGTGCCTAGCACTCAGAAAGATAAACTGACAGAACTACTTTCCCCAACGTCACACCATGAAAATCTCTGCACAAGCAAACAAGCATGCTAAGCTGCCCCTAATTTGTTGTAATCAGGGCTCCCAAGACCCTCCTGGGCCCGACGATTCATACTTACAGTGCCGGTTGGACTCTCAAATATCCCAATCTTGCCAGCCTCCAACACTTGGTATAGCTCTGCCATGAAGTCCTTCTGGATGGAATACGGTGTGAAGGGAAAAGGGAAATGGATGTCACCAACTTCCGGGGTTTTATTAGCCATGGTCCTAGGAGGGAAAAAAAAGACGGCTGTAGCAGAATGCAGCCCGGGAAAGCTCCCAGACAGAAACCCCCTGCCACTTGACCTGGGATGCCTTTGCTGCCTGGACACCTTCCTAAGGCCTCTAGAGAGCGTTGGAGCTTTCCTCTCCAAGACCTGTGCTCCGGGACTGAAGTTGTTGCTTGTAATTACTTCTGCAGCATTCTTCCCTCACATCTCACAATGCAGCCTTTGCAGGACAAAACTGCTTCACTTTACCCTATTGTGAAGCCCTGCAAAGTCACAACACAGAGGCAGAGAAGTCCAAGGACTGCTTTTCCACATGGCACAGCTGAACGCATACATCCCACTTTTACAGACAGCTTTAGTTCGCTTCTCAGTTCACCCTTGCCTCCATTTCCAGTACAAACCAGAGCTGCCTCCTAAAACTTTTTCAGCCTCAAGAAATTAGAGCTTCCTGTCTGGCTCCAGACTGGGAGAGCTCCCTTGACGGGGACCCAGCCCTGGCGGGAAGAGCTTCCCAATACTGAGCCCTCAGCGTTTCTCTTCCCTGCCAGGCCAAGGTCTAAGAGAAACTGCTCTGCTGCGTCGTCTCATCTTTTCTCTCCTCTTCTGAACCTAACTTCTCTGAGAGCTTTTGCATACCCTTTCTCCTCTAATCACCATTTGGAGGACTGACTCTCCCATCCTAGTTCCCACACTCTCTCATTGGAAGTCACTGCTTCAAGCTGTTTAGCAGGCCTATCTCTTCTAAGTACAAATATCAATAAATCTAAAACCCAGTTACATCTTTGCTATGTAACTGGCCTCGATAAGACTCGTGACAGTGTCAATCACTTATGAGGCGAAGGTAGCTGCCACGATGTTCCTCAGTTCCAGTTTAGGGCCAGTTAAAATGACAAGCGAGGTGGAGGGGTAACTCTAAGGAGGGTGACTTAAAAAAACTAGGACAATTCAACACTGAGAGGGAGGCAGGTGATCGGAAACCATTAAAACCTGCGGGGAAGAAGTAACCAATTCCGCGCACCTCCTATGCATTCAACACTCTCCAGGCCCTTTTAGCATCCCATTTAATCTGTATGACGCTGTAAGGATACGGTTATTGGCTACTGATGCTTACAGAAATTACAGAATTGTTCAAAGTCTCAGCTAGTAAGAGGAGACCCAGGGATCCAAACCCAGGTCCACATGGCTCTGTTTTAGTCAAATTCACCTGGCTGCAAGAGATAACTAGCATAAGTCGAAGGGAGATTTACTGAAAAGATACATATTGAGAGATTACAAATTGAGACGATCTAGAAAAACCAAGAACTGAAGCTGGTGACAGAGCGGGACGTCTTGCAGACTAGAAGTACAAAGTAGTTCAGATTTCAAGACAGCTCCAGGAACCTCGCCAGCAAGTCAATACCCATGGATTTCCATTCTCCTGCTCAGTCACGTGCCGGATGGAGCCAGTACTTGCTCTGCTTCCTTACTCTCAGCCTCTCATTATCCAAACTTCAGCCGGCACATGGCCTCTTCAGCCACCTCTACCTTTTAGCTTCAGCTCCTAGCGCCAAAGGAAAATTCTTTTCATGTTTCCTCGTTGTAAATCCCAAGAGAAAAATCTCATCAGCATCTCCTCAAGAAAGAGCACTGGTCAGCCTTCAGACGGTCTGCTGAGGGGCTCAGCCTAATCTAATCAGCTCGGGCCTTGCACGTGCTGTCCCCCTCCTGCCTGGGGAATGACGTGTCCTCAATACTTAGGATGCAGCTCACCTCCTCAGAGAAGCCTCTCTCTCTCTATCCTCCACCCTATAGTGGTCACATACCACCCGCATGCCCCCGCTCAAACACACACACATACACGCCACTCTGCTTTAACTCACTCTTTTATCTCCCTACCCTGTACTCAATTTCTTCATAGCTCTTAGCACTATCTGAACTTATTTTACTTACTGTCCTCCCTCACTGGAATATAAGCTGCAAAAAGGAGGAACCTTGCCTGGCTTGTTCTTCACTGCCCCTAGCACTCAGGACAGGTGCTTTGGCACCTAGAAGGTATCCAACAACAGTAGGATGAATGAATGAATAGCCAGCTTGACACGGGCTGCAGGTGGTTTCTGTTCTTCAAAGGTGTAGGGAGAGGAGGTCCCAGCAAGGTCTGAACACACACCTGCCAGACCTCCAAGCCCCTGAGCTCTGTCTTTCAACCCTCTTCCTCCCACCAGGCCAACGAGGGCGAAAAGACCGGTTGCCAAACTTTAGCATGACAACTCGAAAGGAGACAGAACAAAAGCAATCGTTATTTCCCTTCCCTGTGGATCTCATTACCCTAGAAGCAGCACAAGCTAAGCCGTAACTTAAAGAAGGGTTAGATGAGCCATGAATAACGGATGCACTCAGCGCTGCTAAGGACGTCGGTGTGTCTGCTCCTCCAGCTCGGCCGTGTGGAGGACGACCACGCGCCCCGCACAGCCCTCCCCGGGCTCCCGCAGCGCCGAGGCACCCGCCCCACGGCCACTCCACCGCCCCGACGGCGGGGGCACCGCGGAAGCCGCAGGGCTGCAGCGGGACGAAGCGTTCGCTTCCTCCACTCTCCAACTACCACTCGTTATTTACTCGGGTGTAACTTTTGCTGCAGACTGGACTGGGTCGCCCTCCCCAAGTCCACGCGTTAAAGCCTAATGGGCGGGGCGGGGTGGGCCCGCGGGTGGAGACAGGGCTTTCAGGAAAGACGAAACTAACTACAGAGGAAAAGTGTGAACGCAGTCATTAGACGGGGCCTCATCTTTATAAGGACCGGCGCCCTGATACACGGGAGCGAGCTCGGCCACGTGAGGACACAGCAAGCAGGCGCCCCCGCCAGGCAGGCCGGCACCCTGGTCCCGGCTGCTGAAACTGAGAAATCAAGCTTCTCGGTCAGTCTGTGCAGACCGACACCGCTGTCGTAGATTTCTCCTGCCGGCAGGCTCCGCAAACGCCTTAGGCTCACACAGCGGAGGCCCGGCCGGGACCCCCGCCTCCGCCCCCAGCGCCGCACTGCGCAGGAAAAGCCCGCCATGTCCCGGCCTTTACTGCCACTTTCATGACTCTTCCTCCAACAACCCGGCGCTCCTGACTGGACCCTGCTCCGCCCTGGTTCCCCGAAGGGCGGCAGGGCAGGGCCGCCAGCAGTAGGGGCTCGGGGTCAGACTGCCGAATTTGGGATCCCAGCTGTATTTTTCCTTAAGTTAATATCCCTAGGCCTCAGTTTCCTCATCTGTAGAAGAGAGCTGGGTAACAGCGAACACTCACAGCACGGAAGTGAGCACTACGTCAGACACTCCATGAGGAGCGCACAGCATAGCCGGGCGCCCTGGGAGCCCCTCCTGCGTGCCAGCTACTCCTCCAAGCACCGCTCCAGTTCACCTGCAGGTCCCGCCCCCGCCGGCCTCCCCATCCCCCTGCATTGGTTCCTTGCCTGTCAATCAAATGCTGGCCCCGCCCCCAAGCTCCGGAACGTTTTCCCGCTCAAGACTCGCCCCGCCCCTTTCCACACAGCACCGCCCCCTCCGCCCTATTTGCGTTTCCAGCGGAGTCTGCCCTTTCTCATCTCGCTCCTCCTCGTCCGCAGCTGTGTCACCACGCAGTACTGCGCTCACCCTCTTCGCCAGCAGGACTGCCTCGCCGAGGCCCGGCCCCAGAGGAATCACAATGGAACGTGGCTGAATTTGAAACCGCGCTCCTCTCCGTCAACGTCGGCCCAGGGCGGAGCGTGCTGCGCTGCCACGCCCCCACGACGCTGCGCGTGTGCACCCAGAGCCTGGGAGGGGCGTGGTTTCCTCCTTTTACGCCACTGCGCTTGCGCGGCGGGCTCAGGGCGGCTGTCTTTTTTTTTCTGGCGTTAAGAGCCGTGCCAGGGTCGGACCTTGTGGTCAGGTGTACAGTCCACAGCCTTTGGGCTTAGCGCCGTACCTTCTTCTTCCTTCCAGGCAGGTACAGGGATGTGTGATGGAGCCTCCGTCAACTAGCGCCAGATGTACTCAAAAGTGCTCAACAGTTGGCTTGACTTGATCAAATTCCCCATTATTTACCAAACACGCGAGGAACTAGATGCTGTAGCCGAGAATCAGGAAACCTGCGTTCTAGTCCCGGCTCTTGTCAGGCCTTAATATGTGTGAACCTAAGTTATTTTACTTCCAAAATGGAAGGTACCTGCCCTGCCACCTCAACAGGGCTGTGCAGGATCTTCCCTGTCTTCAGATCATGAAAATGAAAGAACTTTGGAAGACAAGCAGCTTTGTGAATTGTTCTTACTCGGTGCCAGGCACGACCCTTGGGGACAAAGAAGATAAAGCACCAGCCTTGCCTTAAGGGAGCTCACCTTCTAGTTGGGAGGACAAAACACATCACCTTAACATCCCCTAGACTTGGGTTGTTTGCTCAATGGAGGGGATTGGCTACATGACCTCTACGAGCTTTTCTCAGAGTATGTCCAATGTGTATTTTTTCCACCACCACCAAGCAGTCAACTCAATTTGGACACTCTGGAAACTGCATCAGATCCCACATTAAGGGCTCGATCTTGTATTACTGACTGTAGAACTTGTAGCCCAGGTTAAGGGCTCAGTCCTACAAGACTGAGACTTCCAAGGCCAATCGCAAGTCCAGGTTGTCACCTGTGCTTTTGACCTACCAGCTATAGGTGGGAGTTTCCCATGATGCCCTCCTTGGGTTCGATTAATTTGCTAGAGAGGCTCACAGAACTCAGGAAAACATTTTACTTACTGGATCACCAGTTTACTATAGAAGGCAATAACTCAGGAACAGCCAGATGAAAGAGATGCATAAGGCAAAGGATGCGGGAAGAAGCGCACAGCTCCCATGCCTTCTGGGCACACCATTCTCCCAGCACTTCTACAGGTTCACCAACCTAGAAGCTTTCTGAACCCAGTCCTTTTGGGTTTTTATGGAGGCTTCATTACATAGGCATGATTGATTAACTCATTGGCCATTGGTGCTTGAACTCAATCTCCAGCCCCTCTTCCCTCCCAGGAGGTCTTGGGGTAGGACTAAAAATTCCAACTCTCTAATCACTGGGTTTGTTCCCCTGGCAACGAGCCCCCATCCTTAGGTTACCTAGGGACTTTCCAAAAATCACCTTTATCACCACAATATCACAGTATGGCTCTATGAAGTGATAATGGGGGCATTTTATGCTAAGTGCTCCCCCAGAATGACATTGATAATTGTGTGACTTCCCAGCAGGATCAAGGAATGTTAGGGACAGTTGCTGGGACTTGAAGGAAAGGCTTTCAGGGAGAGGAGCCAGTGTCTCAAGCTGTGTGAAAGCTTGGGGGTGGAAACTTACAAAAGCTGATTCCAGAGTTAGCACTTCCAGCTACCACTGGCTGGACCATGGGGAGACGGTGGGAACTAATACCCATCAGGGTCTTGGAATGTGGCCCACCAAAATCCTGACAAGGTCTCTGATGCCTCAGTTTTAACTTTAAAATTCATGTTGCATTCTACTCCATAACATCTATGTTTGTTGTAGCATAAAAAATGTATCAGAGTAATTGTCATCTGGTAAACTTGAACTTCAAGAAGATACACTAGGTTTGGGCCTATTACTTCAAAGTCCTCCCCTCCCTCCTCCACACACACACTCATAGGGTATGAGTCCTCTAGTTTAAGAAGCACCATTGGAGGGGGGCCAGCCCTGTGGCCAAGTGGTTAAAGTTCCGCATGCTCTGCTTTGGTGGCCCGGGGTCACGGATTTGGATCCCAGGTGCAGACCTACTCCACTCATCAGCCATGCTGTGGCGGCATCCCACATACAAAATCGAGGAAGACTGGCACAGATGTTAGCTCGGGGCCAATCTTCCTCACAAAAAAGCAGCAGCATTGGAGGAACAGAAGATGGTAAGACACGAAGGTAAGTCGGGGTCTGGTTGTAGAAGACCTTAAACAACAAGAAAGGATGTTTAGATTTCATACTGTAAGCCATTTGCAAGACACTAAAACGTTTTGAACAGCAGAGTGAAATTGGAAAAGCAATGCCTTGGGAATATTAAGCCAGCAGCAGCGTGAAGGACGGTGTGGAGGGCAGAGAGATCAGAATCAAGCAAACAAGCTGGGTTATGCAGTAAACCAGACAATGCAGTAGGGACTTGGACCTCAAGAGTGTCAATAGGAACGGAGAGGATGGAAGCAGTTAATAGACCAGGCTGTAAACCTGGATCATGGACCTCTCTCTTCCCTCATCCTCAACCCAAGGGTTATATTTAGAGAGTAACACTCCCAACGTAAGACTCTGGGCTTTGTCCCAAAGGTAAAATCAGAAGTTAGCCTTATGTGGACCACCTCTGCATTTCTTACTAAAGAGCCTTAGATGATGCCATTCATTGAATTAACTCAAAGTCCTTCTTAACAAACTCCTCTTAAGACTCAAGGCCAGGGGGAAAAATTTTTCTCCTTATGTACAGATATGCTTTCCGTACCTGGACAGTCAGAGTATTTAACCCATCACGCACTCTTCCTTGCTGCTAGTAATCTCGGAGCTAAATGCTGTGCATTGTGTTAGTTTTTCAATGGCCAGTATTTTTTGATACTTTCTTTTTTTCCCCTTTCTCATTATTTCTTGCTAATTTTAAGTACATGCCTAGAAAAGTCAGACTGCCCGGATTCAGATCCCCACTCCACTATTAATTACCTGGGTCACTTTGGCAGGTATGTAAGCTTTGAACCTCCGTTTTCGCACTTATAAAATGGAGACAATAGCAGGATTTACCTTAAAGGATTCTTGTGGGATAAATGAGATAATCTTGGTAACATAAAGGGCTTAGCACCTTGCATACCACATTATAAAAGCTCAACGAAGTTTAGTATTAGTATTAATTATTAGCTATTATTAGCTATTAATAATTACTATTATTGTTAATTGGGTTTGGTTTTAGTGTCCCTATGCTTTTATTATGTTTCTTTACGTCCTCTTTAGAAATAGCTATGATATAAACCTAACAATAAATAAATAAAATCTAACAGTAAGTGAAGTTCGCTCCTGACTAACTGTGAACCAAATTTGGAGATTTAGATCTTTGGCAATTGGAAGAGCAGAAATAAGGAGGTCAAGACTAATAGTGCATTTTGAGGAGGAATGTGAATCTTGTTTTTGTGATATTTAAATTTATGCAGTTTGATGGAGTACACATTAATGTGTAGGTTGGGGGGGAGGAGGTCATCCATGTTACAGGCAGGATCGGAGCCTCTCAAAGGCATCTTAGCCAGGGTGTATCCTCGCTTTGGCATTCATTCATTCAATAAATATTGACCGAGCACCAGTCCAGAAGCTGAATTAGCTTAGTAAACTCAGAAATTATCAGGCTCACTACAAACCCGTGATCACTAAATTTACATGTGTGCCAATGGACTACTTCAGAGAGGAGCCATTGCCAGTGAGCATAAGCTCATTTATCTCTTCCTATTTGGGAAGACAATGTGATTTGGAAGGTTGCTTGGTGAGCTTAGAATCAGAACAAGGAAAACATAGGAATTTGAGTGAGAAACGTTACCTAGGCACTGGGGAAGTCCCAGTAAATATGCCTGCCCCCAAAGAGAAAACACCTCTCTAGAGACCAGATTGCTCCCATCCCCAAGACCTCATGTGCCTCTCTCTGGAACAGGGCAATATGCACTCTAATAATATTTGCATCTCTGAATGTTAGTTTCTTTGATTACTGTGTCCAGTGTGTATATTACTTTCGCTCACTAAGCCACACTCTAGTGGCATACCTTCTGTTTCCTCACGTAATGGGTTGATCTAATTAGTCAAACTGAATTTTCAGGCTGCCCCAATCTCACTGTCTCTGTGAGAGATTCAGTTGTGTTTGAAATGGGGGATTAGAGTTCAGGAAAGAGGCAGGAGCTGCATATATGGATTTGATCACCCCTGGGTTAAGGCACTAAAGCAATGGTAAGTGGTAAACTTTCTGAAGAAGTGAATAGTTATAAGAAAAAAAAAAAAAAGGAGGGAGGCATCCACATGCAAAAGAATGAAGGTAGACCCTTACCTTACGCTATATATAAAAATTAACTCAAAATGGATTTAAACATAAGAATTAAAACTATAAAACTCTTGGAAGGAAACATAGGGGAAAAACTTCATGACGTTGGATTTGGCAGTGGTTTCTTGGATATGACACCAAAAGCACAGGTAACAAAAGTAGAAAGAGATAAATTGGACTACAACAAAATTTAAAACTTCTGTGCACCAAAAGATACAATCAGTGAAGTGAAAAGGCAACCTACAGAATAGAAGAAAATATTTGCAAATCATATATCTGATAAAGGGCTAATATCTATAATATATAAAGAACTTCTATAACTCAAAAACAAAACAAAAAAACAATTAAAGTATGGGCAATGGACTTGAATATACATTTCTCCAAAGAAGATATAGAAATGGCCAAGAAGCACATGCAATGATGCTCAACATCGCTAAGCATTAGAGAAGTGCAGTCAAAACCACACTGAGGCACTACCTCACACTCATTAGGATGGCTGCTACTTAAAAACAAACGGAAAATAATAAAGGTTAGCAAGGACATGGGGAAAATGGAACTCTTGTGCACTGCTGGTGAGAATGTAAAATGGTGCAGCCACTATGGAAAACAGTATGGCAATCCCACTTCTGGGTATATACCCAAAAGAAGTGAAAGCAGGATTCAAACAGATATTTGTACACCCATGTTTATAGGCACAAAATTCATAATAGCCAAAAAGTGTTTGCAACCCAAGAGTTCAACTGATGAATGAATAAACAAAATGTGGTATCCACATATAATGGAAGATTATTCAGCCTTAAAATGAAAGAAAATTCTATGCATTCTACAACATGGATGAACCTTGAGGACATTATATGTATTAGTCAGGGTTCTCCAGAGAAAAAGAACCAACATGTGTACATATAGATTTATTTTAAGAAATTGGCTCATGTGATTTTGGAGGTTTGGCAAGTCCAAAATTTAATGGGGTAGGCCGGCATGCTGGAGACTCAGAGAAGAGTTGAAGTTCAATATAAAGGCTGTGTGCTGGCAGAATCTCTTCTAGCTCTGGGGAGGTCAGTCTTTGTTCTATTAAGGTCTTCACCTGATTGGATGAGGCCCACCCACATTATGGAGAAGAATCTGCTCTACTCAAAGTCCACTGATTTAAATGTTAATCTCATCTATAAAACACCTTCACAGAAACACCCAGAATAATGTTTGACCAAATATTTTGGCACTGTGGCCCAGCCAAGTTGACACATAAAATTAACCACCACATTATGCTAAGTGAAATAAGCCAGTCACAAAAAAAGGCAAATACTGTATGATTCCACTTACGTGAGTACCTGGAGTAGTCAAATTCATAGAGACAGGAGAAGTCCAAGCTTGAAGCAAATCGAGGTGCAAATCAAAAAGCCAAAGATAGAGTATAAAGCCAGGCTGAAGGCCAAGGGGGCAAATGCCCATGCATAAAGCACTGGAAGTCTCAGCTCTTGGGTTCAGGAGCTAAAATCAGAGTGGTGTTTCTCCTCTAAAGTTCAGCTATCGCACCAACCCCCACCAACTACACTCTGTCATCCTAAAGAGTGGACATCTCTCTATCGAGTCAGAGGACAATGTCTCACACCTGTGTACTAGTCAGGATTCTCCAGAGAAACAGAACCAATAGGATGTGTGTGTGTACATAGAGAGAGCGAGAGAGAGAGAGCGGGAGAGAGCGGGAGATTTCTTTTAAGGAATTGGCTCACATGATTATGGAGCCTGGCAAGTCCAAAATCTGCAGGGTGAGCCATCAAGCTGAGGACACAGGGAAGAGTTGATGTTGCAGAGTTCAAGTCCAAAGGCCATCTGCTGGCAGAATTCCTTCTTGCTCTGAGGTGGTTAGTCTTTTGTTTTATTCAGGCCTTCAACTGATTGGATGAGGCCCACCCACATTATAGAGGGCAATCTGCTCTACTTATTTACAATTTAAATGTCAATGTCATCCAAAAACACCCTCACAGAAACATCCAGAATAATGTTGACCAAATATCTGGGCACCACGGCTCAGCCAAGTTAACACATAAATTAACCATCACACCTAGAGACTAATTACAGCCATTTATTAAGTGCCATTTACAGCCATTTATATACCAAGTACACAGCACTATTTCATTTAATTCTGCAGGGCCTATAAAGTACATTTAAATATTCTCATTTTTAAATATGAGGAAACCAGTTTCAAAAGACTTTATCCAAAAGTTCGTAAAATTTAGAAGCAATCAAAACCATGCTGATCACTGCTAACTTCAAAGAAGTAAAATGAGTCAATGTGACCAAAGTAAGAACTGATTCTCTGGTCTTTCCATATCTTTGAAAGTTCTCAGAACCAAGTTCCAACAGCCTAAATGTTTCATAACTTTTGAAAAAAAATTATTGCCTTCTTACTTCATGCCAGACAAACTACTAAATACTTTGTATTCATTATCTCCTTTAATCCTTACAGCAATGTTGAAAGATTAAGTAAATCCATCAGGATTGGGTTTGCCTGTGACAGAAAACTCAAACAACATTCGTTAAAACAGATAAAATTGTATTTGTCCCCCCTCCCTAGATAAACAAAGTCTGAAGGTAAGATATGCAAACCGGTAAACAGCTCTGCTATCATAACTGATCTAGGTTCTTTCTATCTTTCGGCTCTGCCATCTCCAATATATCACTTCCTCTCGCAGTTTAGTTCCAACCATCGCGTTCACAGTCTAGTCACCAGGAAGACAGGCAGGACAGAAATGGATGTGCTCTGCCCTTTAAGAGCACTTCTGGGAAGTCGCATGGGCCATTTCCCCTTACACCCACTTGGTCAGAACTTAGTGACATGGTCACACTTAGCTGCAAGAGAGGATGGGAAACATATTCTTTATTCCAGGCAACCAAATGCGTGGTTAAAAAAAGGAAGAAGGGGAGAATGGATATTGGGAGACCATACCACAGGAGGTATTATAAATAGCACTTTGTAGACGAGAAATCAGGCACGAAGGAAGTGAAGCACAGAGCTTGGAAGGAGCGTAAAAGAACTAGTGTGTAATAACTGTTATGTGGTAGTGGGAGCAAGAATTCAAACCCAAATTTTAGAATGAGTTTTTAAAATAGATGAGAATGGACCAAAGTTATCCCCACAATAATGTCACTTACTCGGTGGCAATCTCACGTGCTTTCCTGAGTGAAAGAGGGCTGGAGGCATTGCTGCTCCACTGCACACAACCCTGGAACACCTTTTCACGCTCTAACCTGAGATCTGAATACACCACGGAGGTGCGTCAGGCACGTGAATTTCATCCAACATGTGCGGAGGTAGGAAAAACAGATTGAAAACTAGGCACTAAGCTGCTCTGCCACCCTACTCCTCCCTTTTTGTCATTTGAAACTTTACCGGAAGGCTGAAGGAGACGCTTCCAGAGCTGTTCCTGTCACTCGGGTTTATCCCCAATCCACAAAAACTAGCGTGGAAGCCATCTTGTCTTAGGACGAGAAAATAAATTTTATTAACAAGTGTATGTGCTAATAGGCAACAATCCCCTGGGTGATAAAGGACAAGAAACATACTGTGTCTACTAAGACCAAAACTGCCTCCTCAGCTTTGTTCCAAAGCAGTTCACGCCACTAGACCAGAGGCGGGAGAGGCCGCTGTGGAGCGAAGTGCTGACATCTGAGCAGACAATGGGAACGGCTGTGGTCCCCATTCTAAATATTCACAGTGACTCGCCAACAACTGATTCCTCGACAGACCCAGCTTCTTCCGGTGCACTTCGACTTTGGTGTTTGTGACTATGTTGATTTTTCACCTAAATCGCCTATGCTACGTGGGGCATTTTTCACCCCGCTGTTGCACCGGTTGCGCAGTACAGTTAGAGGGCCCGGGAGCCAACGCCAGGCCTTCTTTTTCCGATTGTCGTCATCCTCTCTTTCCTGTCTGACAATCTTAAACAGTTGCTGCTTTCTTTCTGGGGCTTTCATGCAGAGAATTTAAAGAGGCTACTGCTGAAGCGGCTCATCTTGGGAGGAGAGACAGGCGGGAGGTTAACATTTTCATCAGTTCTCTTCGGGGTAGTGTGGACCAAAGACTGGACATCTTCCACAGGATCGTTCCTCAGACTTCCAAGAGCTGAAACCAGAAAGGAGGTCAACTCAGACTCCCGATCTACAAAGACTGTCTACTCAAACCCTATTATTTTCTACCCCACATGCCAGGTTATTAGTATATAACTTCATTTAGAATAATTTTTGTCACTGTAAAAGTGACACTTGTTCTATTGCAGACAAATGTTTAAATATAATTTTTTTTAAGCTGAAAGGAAGAAAAATCACTCACCCCTAGATATAACGCTGTTAATATTTTCATACTTAATCCTTACAGTACCCTTTAAAATATCTAATATAGACACTTTTTGTTTGTACAAAAATAGGATTAACATTTTTTATTCCCATAAAATATTCCTTCATATAACATAATATTCAATCACATGCTTCTATCATAATTTCCTTGATGAACCCCGATAAGTGAATAATTAAGTTGTTTGCAATTTTTCACTGTTGTAAACAATAACCACTAATCCATTCAACAACTATCTATTGAGCACCTGCTATCTCCAGGCTCTGTGCTGGGTGCTGGGGATGCAGTGGTGAGCAAGAAAGACAGATTCCTCAACCTCAAGAACTTAACATTCTAGTGGAGGAAAGACCAAATAAACAGAAAAACATAAATTAAGCCCAAAGAAGGAAAGTTAACAGAGTAATTAGAGCGAATAGCTGGGAAGGACCCTGTTAGATAGGCCAGTCAGAGAATGCCTCTCTGAGAAGTGACATTTAAACTAAGGTCCAAAGAATGAGATCCAGCCCAAGACCCAGCCACATGAAGAGCAAGGCCAGAAGCATTCCCAGTGTGGGGCAGGGGTGGTCTCTTCACGGTGTAGAAAGCAGACAGTGTGGCTACAGCTTCTGGTGAGGGGCGAAATGATGAAGGCTAAGGGTGGAGAGACAGTCAGAAGCCAGAGCAGTCAAGCCTTGTGGCTGAGGGCAAGGGAACAGAATTTGACCAAAAGAGCAGTGAAAAGCCACTGAAGGGTTTTAAGCAAGGGGAGTAACATGACCCAATGTATGTTTTGCAGAGAATCTGGCTGCTGTGTGGAGAGTAGTGTAGAGAAGAGGAGGAGGATGTTGGTGGTCGTTAAAGTGGTCCAGTTAGGGAATCGTGGGCAGGGGCTTAGATTCAGGTGGGAACCGAGGGGATGGAGACGGGAAATTGCTTAGCAGGCAAAGGATAAAGAGGACAGGAAGAATCTTGGCTCAACAGAACTAAAAGGCCCTTCAAGCTCATCAAAGGCCACAACTTCGTGTGGCCCTCATTGATACTTAGAGCAGAAAAAAAGAGCTGGGCTTAAGCTATACAGAAAAGATGTAAATCCTTTGAAGAACCATTTCTTGACCACAAGGTTTGTTAAGCTCTAGATACAGGTGGAAGTGTAACTAAATTCCTCTCCTTGGGAAAAACTTCCTCCTGTCTAGGTGACTTAGGCAGCCTTTCTTGGAGGCCGAGTGGGAGGAGGAAGGCGAGGTGTATTCTCTGGTATACTGAGGAGTCTAGGATTACCATTCTGGATATACTTTCTCTGAAATTCCTCAGTGGTGGCTGGAAATAGGGGTCACCTCAGATAGAGACCTCAGTTGTAAGATCTAGGAGAAGGCAGCAGAGGTACAAAATGTCAGGGTCAGAACTGAAACCCGGCCTCCTGGTTTAGAACTATCACACAAACTGGGCTTACTGTATTGTTCTTAATTAATCCTGCTTTGTTACTTCTTGTTAACTCTACCTATTGCCTGTCGAAACTTTGTAAACATGATGTACTTAATAAGATGATGTTAACTCAACAATATGAAATGATTTCCAATACTTACAACTCAGAGAACTATAGACTTTGAATAAGAGATGCCTGAGAGTTCTCCCTCCTAACCTTCCTTGTTATTTAAATGTGGCCTAAATGGTTTCCAGCCACTATACCCTTCCCCTCCAGTGTGGTACATGACAACCAGGAACGGTCCTTCCTGCGCTGAGGGACAAAACCACTAGGTGCAAAGAACCTGATACAGCAATGCTTTTGGAGAAAGATCTTAATCAAAAGGGGAAAATGTGAAAATTAATAAGGGGAAACTCCATTTAAAATAGAGTCAGGAGGCCAGAAGGAGGTTTTCCCATACAGTACAACTCAAGGTCAATTACAGGAAAGATAGTCAACTACAGATCCCAACAGAAAGGAGTCATCAACAGGAAAGAATCTTCAATTACAGGAAGAAATATACATTGCATCCCAAACAGAAATTGACTACCCCCGCAACTCAGCTAATGAGAAATCATCAGCACCCTGAACTCTTGCTTTTCTCCAATGGACTTTTGTTCAAAACAACCCTTCCCAATTTCCTCCCCTTTCTCTCTAAAATAATGTTCCTCTCCCTTATTTGTTGGATTTGCCTATGGTCCACTGCAGCTCGCGCATCCTGAATTGCAATTCTTTGGCTATTCCTGAATGAACTCGTTTGCTGGTAAAATAATTGGCTGTTTTATTTTTAAGGTTGACAGGGGTCTGGATGAGTTGCCTCAAGTCCTATATATTCTACAAATTCGTGGAACCTCTTTTATCTTAAAAATTCATGCATAATTTACGTTCTACTCCTTAATATGTCCATTATAACTTTTTAAATGTTTTGATTTTTAAAAGAGTATCACTTAGACATAGGTACTAAAATATTTATAGATGAAATAATATGAAGTCTGGGATTTGATTCAGAATAATTCTGACAGGGAGAAGGAATAGGTAGGGAAATAGAAAGACAAGGGTGGCCATGAGTTGATATTTGTTGAAGCTGGGAGATGGGCATGGGGGTGGGGGGTTATGATACTATTCTCTATACTTTTAAAGAACACTAAAAACAAAAAGAAAAATCTTAAAACAGCCAGAGAAAAAGGATAGATTACCTACAAAGGAACAAAAATTAGAATGACAGCAGAAGATTGGCACCGAGCCAACATCTGTGCCCATCTTCCTCTACTTTATATGTGGGATGCCTGCCACAGCATGGCTTGCCAAGAAGTGCCATGTCCACACGTGGGATCTGAATCAGTGAACCCAGGCCGCCAAAGCAGAACGTGCGCACTTAGCTGCTGCACCACCAGGCGGCCCCCAACAGCAGGCTTCTTATTGGCAACGAAGCCAGAAAACAACAGTGCAATAACTTCAGAGTGCTGGGAGAAAATCATTGTTGGTCTAGAATTGTGTCACTAGTAAAGTTATCTTGCAAGAATGTGGGTAAGAAAAAAATCATTACAAACAAAAACCAAGAGAACATACCGTCAGGATGCCAGCACTAAAGAAACTTCAGAAAGGTGTACTTCAGGATGAAGAAAATGACCCCCGAAGGATGGTAAGAGACGCAGAAAGGAATGGTGAGCATGTAATACTGTACGTAAATCTAAACAGTTTGTATAAAATAACAACAATAATCATAACATCCAAATTCTAGGTTAAAAAAAGAGAACTGAAATCTTGGCTAACAAAAGCCTGTAAGTTGGGAGGGGTGGTGACTGGAACTCATGCCAACACAGGAGCAAAGTTTACCATGTGGTTTCACTTTAAACTCAGTATGCATGATAAATGTCTACTTTTTGGTATCTAGCCTGGAGAAAAATTACACCTGTATATAAGGAGGCATATATAAGAATTTCACAGTAGCATTGTTTGACTAGCAAAAATTTGAAACAAATATTATACTATCAAGGGTTATAGGAATGCAGTAGATCTGTACACACCAACATACTAAGTGGGAAAAAGGCAAGTTGCAAAAACTGTACGTATATATATATAATATATGTAATATATGTGTTATACGTATTACATACACACACACACACACACACACACACACACAGAAAAAGAATATGGGACTATATAGCAAACAGGCAGGGGAAGAGGGGAGAGCAGCAAGACTCGTGGGTTAATAGAAATTTACCCTTATCAACAATTTTTCTATTTTTTTTTGCAAAGAGGCTATATTCATGTATTTATTCTATAAATATAAATTAATTTTAAAATATTTGAATGCAACTAAAAAACCCACAAAACTGCAAGTTCTTTCAGGAGCAGGGACTGTGTCTGCCTGAGCACCACTGCAGCGCCACCACCCAGGGCACACGGTAAATGTTCAGTGACCACAACATTCTTGCCAGTAGTGTTTGTACCTAACTAGTATGACAATGGATAATTTGTTTTCTTCCTCCTACTTCTCTCCGTTTTCTTCTTTTATATATAACATTACAATGGTAAAAAATAAACTTTATTTAAAATAATGAGACATGTCCTTAAGAATTTTCCCATCCTGCTTTCCACCTTGCCCCACCCCTTGTGTAACCCAGAAGCCCGGCACAAGGCTCAGGCTCACCATTCTGTAACTGCTGCATGTCATTCTTACGTATGTGATTCATGCTTATCCGCTTAACTGCTAACCCTCAAAGATAGGACAGATTGAAAGTCTGTCCAGAATTTCTGGTCCTTTGGGCCACCCCTTTCCCCAGGTTGAGTAGTGAACAAGCAAACTTGTAAACCATTTCTAGCAAAGAATGTATCTAAGAGGTGCCTTGCAGCCTAGATGTCAGTGTCCTAATAGAAGACCAACCCTCAGAGCAGCTGTGACCCAGAAAAATATTGTCGGCAGGTGACAAGTAGAGCATGAGCCCAAGATGTTAAACTCCACGAGGTTCCTACACCAATAAAAAGATGGACGAAGGGTACAAGGCAATTAATTTGCAAAAGTAAAATATGCATTGCCAATAAACATAGGAAAAAATATTTAACCTGCTACAAAAAATATTAATCAAAACAACAGCAAGGTATTTTTTTTCACCTATCAAATTGGTAATGATTTTAAAATATTACCCAGGGCTGGCAAATGTCTGGAGAAATGGATACTCGCATACAGTACTGGTGAGAATAGAAGTGACTCAAGCTTTTTAGAGGGCAGTTAAAGCACCAAAATCCTTAAAATTTTACATTCCCTTTGGGCCCAGAAATTCTGCTCATTAAGAAATTTACATTAACAAAATAATCATGATGGCATGCAGAGATTCAACCAGAGTCCCTGCTCAGAAAAACAAAAGACGACATAGTCTCAACATTCAAAAATAGGGACTAGCTAAATAATTTCAGAAACCCACCCATAAAATGGAATTAATATTATGCGGTGATTAAAAATAATGTTGGAGAGTATGTAAAGGTATGTATTTGTGATACAGCAAGGGAAAAAATGGTGTACTAAACTTGGAAGTTTTAAAAAGTGCTATGTATGTGCATGTGCAAGTGTGTGTGTATAGTATATGCTTAGGGAAAAAACCCTAAAATGTTAGCAGTGGTTAAATCCAAATGGTAGAATTTCTGGCATTATTTTCATCTTTTTTGCCAATCTGAATGTTTCAGGGTTTCTAACATTAACATATCTTACTATTATAGTTCAAAACAAAAATATTTTGGAAAATCCATGCAGTTCCAGTGGAAATAACAGGTTTTTCCCTTTCAAATGAGCATGGTTCCCTTGCCTAAAAAGCAGAGTGCAGACAGTGTGGGTGGACCCACACAGACCTCCCCTTCCTCCCTGAGCCTTTCTAACACAGGACGTGAGCACGGTCACCCGACACTCTCTTTAGTCAGGTCAGGCTAGGAAAGGAGGTGACCTGCTTCATTGTTGATGGTTCTGGCTCAGCCCTTTAAGCAGAAGGTCAAAGAGGGCTCCCCTTTGAAGAGAGGGGGCAGGAGTCTCCAGGAGGGAGCATCTTACCCATGAAACTGACTACAGCTGCCCTTAGGAAGGGCTGAGGGCTCTTCAGGAAGCCAAAGCTCTGGGACAGTAACTCCCCTACAAACTGTGTTTTGCTTGTGCCCACCTGTGGAGCCAAAGAGGGGTAAGCTGACCAGGAGAGGGGGGCTGCTGGGAAGTCCACTAAAGACCTTCTTGCGGCCATGGCCCTCCCACCCTGTCCACAAGCAGCATCATTCTGTCCTCAGCCAGCTTAACTGCCTAACTAACTATAGACTCAGACAGTCCCACCCACAGCAGCAGTGCAGACTCAGCAAGAAGTTCATAAAGAGAAGTTTGCTTCTTGGTACCAACATGATAAGAGAGAAAACAACTGACATGGAGCCAGGAGACCAGGTTTGAAAACTGGCCCTGACACACACTGGCTTCAATTTTCTCATCTGTAAGAGCTGAAATAAAACCTGCCCAAGCTCCCTCACATGATTGTAAGGCTCCAATGGGATAATGGATGTAAAAGTGCTTTGTAAATGTAAAGTGCTCTACCTATGGAAGGCAATAAGCGCCAAAATTCATAATATTAGAATTGCTAATGTTAATTTCTAACCTACTTGCTTAGCCCTTAAGTGTTTACTTTTCAACAAGGATTCCTGATCTCTGCCCTGTTCTTGACTTCTTAGGAGCCACAGACCCTTAACACCATGACCATTGACCTAAAGCCCAGATGACTCCTGCCTACCTCTCTTCCTACAACTCTAACCAGAAGGCCTCTGTCCCATTGCCATCTACTACCCTTGCATGACCTCCCTAGCCTCTGAAGGCAGAGATTGGGACGCCAGGAGGATCAAATATGGAGAACCAGGGACTGGTATCCCAAATGTGGGTTCTCAGAGTTTGCTGATGATAGAGAATGAGAATCAAGAAACAGAAAGAATGTATCATCTGTCAGCCCTCCCCTCTTCACCCGCCTAGCCTGCCCTTGACTCCTTAGCATGAATATTGTGACCCGGCTTCCTCAGAGACTTTCACTCACCAGGTACTTGCATGTTTCTTCCAATACCTGGATGTGATCACTGAGGGTGGTAAGCCGGAATGTCTGTGTTAGTGACGACCAACCAATCATATTAGTCCACTCGGTCAGGGCCCCTCCACAGGCCTATGGCATGGAAAGAAGGGAATCCCCAAAGCCTCACTCCTATAATTGCAGAGCCAGGCCAGGAGACTAAGTGGAAGACTACAAAGCTGGCCCCCAAAGGGCTTGGTTGGGGGTTGGTAGCCAGGATCAGATAAAACATGGGACCTGGCTCATAACAAGGGACATCAATAGCTTCAGGGAGCAGAACCATATCAGGATAGACCGATGGTATCCAAAAGAGGGTAAAAGAGCTCAGAGCCAGCCCAGAGGATGATACTGAAGAGATGGATATAGAAAATACAGCGAAGGCTGGCCTCATGAAAAAGAGCCAAAGGGAAGGGGTTGTGCTCTAGCAAAAACGGGGTAAACCAGGTGAGGCTGGCAGGATAGAGGTCATCAGTACCTTGACTACCTCGGTGGTGTCCTAAATGCTGAGCAGCAGTGGGACTAGAAAAGTGTAGATCTCTTTTTGGAGGGCGGATCCAGGCTTGAATTTGTGAACTCGATGTACCATGTGGCCCAGGGCAGAGGTGGCTGAAATCCTCACCTTGTCCCTCTCCTGCCCTGAAGAGCAAAATAGAGATGAGGAAGGTCATGGTTTCCCTCTGGCCCTGCCTGGCCTGGCTTCCATACTCCCACATCTCATTTTCCATGTCCAAAATACACTGATGGCATTGTGTTTACATAATGTAAAGGCAACACGGTTTGTGTATCTGAGTAATTCTCTTTAGAGCCCTAGAGCTAATAAGTCAGTTTGTTAAGGCACAGCACAAGGGAAACCAAGATCATAGTTTCAGTTCTGCCATGGACCATATCCACAGCTAGTAACTTTATACTCTTCCAAGGATTTAGCTCAAGAATACCAAATTTTAAAAAATACGTATGGTTATCCTCATTATGCTGTGAATAAAAATTTTTAAATCTATATTAGCTTATATTAATTAACAATGATCACAAACAGCTAAACTCTGTACACTTTCAAGAGTATATTATATATATAAATTGAACAAATAATTATTGAGCATTTATCATGAGCCAGGCACAGTGCCAAATAATAGCGACATAGTGGACAAGACAGATAGTCCCTGAAATTGTAGGATATGGGCAACAGACAATTTAGCAAATTGGATGTACATGTTATTAATTTTTGCCCAGTGAACATAATGGCCAAAACAGAGAGATGATTCAATGTTAGTATTTTAATTTAAAAAACAAAGAGAAAAAGTATCTCATGCAGATTAGCTCAAGATGAGTGACTGAGCATTGCTCCAATCATCCCTTCCTGCCCTAAATCCCTCAGAGAAATAGTAGAGATATACTTTTTAAATTCATAATCGCTCTGAAATATTAAATGTTTCCCCTGCAGAGGACTAGAGCATCAGTGAAAGATAAACAGCAGACAGGATTGAAATAAAAGTTGAAACCACAGCCCAAAGTGAGGGCAAGAGCAGATTGCTGCAGGAAGTGGGTGTGTTCTGGGATGCTCTAAGCTTACAGGCTGTGCGTACATGGAGCAGAACAGGACACTGGGCAACTGACAGGGTGGTCGTTTGGGGTGCTGTAGTTCAGCCATCCAATCCAGTTTCTCTCTCCACCCTGCCCTCTCATTATCCCCCTTACTAAACAGCAAGCACAAGGAGCACAAAGTCACCCCAACAGAGCAGGGAGTGTGTATCTGGACCAGAGAAATAGGACAGTGCAGGAATCCAGTAACACCCAGGAAGAGCACAGAACCCCGTAATCAAAAGACTGGCTACTGGCATCCAGCTGTCCACATGTCCCTGGGTGCTCCCCCACAATTACTAAAGTTAGACTGCAGTGCTAGGTATTGCTCTCACAGAGGGCCAGCGAAGAATTAGTAGTGCAAAATTTCCAGGTCTCACCAAACAGTTAGGAAAACCAACACCGCAAGAGAAACAAACAAAACCCCCATCATCCAAATAATACAGTCTGAACAAAACTTTAGAGAAAGTATAATTGAATCCTTAGAAAGACTTTGTAAAAAAAGGATATTGAGGACATTTTTTAAAGTGCTTGGAAATCCAAACTTTGAAATTATAAGTAAATAAGGAAATAAATAGATATAGGCAAAAGTAAGGCAGTATCTCCATAGAATAATGTAATAGTTATTCAGATATCACACCATCAACCAGAAGAGAAAGAGAACCTGCTTCATTAAAAAAAAAATTAAATAAAATTCAGTAGATGGGTATAAATAGCAGAATAACCACAGCTAAAGAGTGAATTAAGAGGAGAATCAGCCGAGTAGTTCTTCCAAAATGGACAAAGAGATGGGAAATATAAAAGAAAAGTTAAGAAACATGGAAAATAAATTCAAAGAAATTCCAAAGACTAGAATAGAAAGAAGAAAGAAAAGAGCACATACCAGCAAAATAATAGAAGAAAATTTTACAAATGATGAAACTAGTGAGCTTCACCTAAGTGGGTTCATATGACTAGGTGAATGGTAAAGCAGCACCCAGAGTCCAGATCTTATGACCCTCAGGGGAGTGTTCCTTTCATTCTGCCAGGTTCCCATTCTGTAGATGATGACCATTTACTATTAGACCATAAATCTCAACTGCCTATTCCAGCCATATAGAAGAAAAAAATAACTGGACAACTTTCCCACTATAAACACCTTTGAATGCTAGATAAAATACACAAAAAATATTTTTAAAGCATAGCTGAGCTTTCAAGAAAATAAGAGACATTCCCAGGGACCAAAGATGAAGAGGTTGCTGACACTCCAGCTGCTGTTGCAGGAGGAGGACTTCTCTGGTTTCGATAACCTAGGGGCATGCCTTGTCATACCTACTGGTCTCCCCAGCCTGCTTGCAAGGTAGCCAGAAACTGGGAAGCAAGCACCATGGGCAGACAGAGGGATCCCAGAGAAGCCCTCTAGTTAATGCTCAAAGAACCAGAAAGGACACTCAAAATGCTCAAAGAAATCCCTCATTTCTTTTTATCCCCTCTATGCTCTCATGCTACACCCCCCAAGCAAGTCCCAGTGGGAGCCTATAGGAGCCAAAACTCTGAGGGAGGGGAAGTTTACCCTCCACTTGAAGGAGCTTTGGCCCCAAGAAGGTTGACAAACCACCATTGCTTTATTTCCTCTCTCTGCTCTAACACCCCATGGCCCAGTTGTGGGCACAGTCACAGAAATGTCTGGCATTGTGGGGGAACTAAAACCCCAGCTTTCTTGCCAGATGACTGGAAAAAGTGGAGCCCTAGGGAAATGTAAAACTAAGAAGGTCACAGAGAGGGAAAGTGACCCTATAAAGTTGTTTATGAATTCCTGAGCTCACCCTATGCATAGATCTGATCCTAAACCACATACAATAGACTTTGAGAACTGAACTACTGGAAAGACAATGCTCCAGGTCCAAGACTGGACACTGGGTGGTGTGAACTCAGAATAGCAAAGGCTATGAATTCAGAACTGACCATTGAAATCACAACCCACACTCAGAAGGCTAGTCAGAACTTGCAGCCTGAAGTTAAACGTGTCAATTGCCTGCTAAAGGGATAATATCAATATCCAATATTGATATCAATATCCATATCCAATATTGATATCAATATCAATATCCTATTTCCATAGGATTTAAATGAGACCCAGAGTCACAGAACTTAATATTCATAATGTCCATGACACAATCCAAAATTACTCAGCATGCAAAGAGGCAGGAATATCTCAATTCAATGGGAAGAGACAATTGATATGCTAAAGTCAAGAGGAAACAGATGTTGGAATTATCTGATAAAAACTTTAAAGCAGTTATTATACCAAAGGTTCCCAAAAGCAACAGTGAACACTCTTGAAGTGAATACAGAAATGAAAAGTCTCATCAAAGGAAAAGAAGATATAAAGAAGAGCGATGGGAAATTTTAGAACTGAGAAATACAAAATTGGGTAGACTTACCAACAAAACAGAGATATCAGAGGAAAGAGTCAATGAACCTGAAGATAGATCAATAAAAATTATCTAACCTGAACAACAAAGAGAAAAATGATTGAAAATGAACAGAATCTTGGGATCTATGGGACAATAACAAAAGGTCTAACATTTGTGTCATCAGATTCCCAACAGGAGAGGAGAAGAAAGAGTGTGGTGCTGAAAAATTTTTTAAGAAATAATGGCTAAAAACTTTCCAAATTTAGTGAAAGACATAAATATAGAGATTTCAAGAAATTCAGTGAACCCTAGAGAGACTAAACCCAAATAAATTCATTCCAAGACTCATCCTAAACTGCTGAAAACTAAAGACAAATGTGAGACAAAATAAAGACATTTTCAGAAAGGCTAGTCAGAACTTGCAGCCTGAAGTTAAACAGGTCAATTGCCTGCTAAGGGATAATATCAATATCCAATATTGATATCAATATCCACATCCAGTATTGATATCAATATCAATATCCTATTTCCATAGGATTTAAGTGAGACCCAGAGTCACAGAACTTAATATTCATAATGTCCATGACACAATCCAAACTTTTGAAAACTTTTACTATTAACAGATCCACTGAAGAAACCACCAAGGGAGAAAAAAAAATGAATCTAGAAGGGAGGAGAGAGTTGCAAGAAGGAAAGGTGAAAAAGAAATTTGTAAACATGGGTAAATCTAAATAAGTATTGACTGTGTAAAATAGCAACAATAATGATGATGATGATATAAAGACCAAATTTGGGGGGTAGGCAGAGCAAAATGGCAGGGTGAGCTGACCTGCGACTCTCTCCCCTCCAAAATAAAACCAAAAAAACCCGGAAAAACTGAATTTCAACCAATGACCCCTAATGCTGAGACTGTCAGAGACCTACAGAGTAAGAAGACAGAGAACGGAGAGGCTGGAGCTGCCCTTGGAGGAGCTGGAATGGGGTAGGAGAGAACTTTGCTCCCTCCCCTAGAGACTGGGATCGCTGCCGCAGGTGCGGAAAGGAGAGGTGGAGGGACCATGCGACCAGGGGATCGTCCAGGACTCCCGCCGCTGGTACAGTGGAAACCCGCTGAGAGGGGAAAGCTTCCATGCACGGGGACCCCATCAGGTGAGGGCCTCGGAAGACCAGAGAACAGAGCTGATCCGAATCCAGGTTGGCGCGCAAGAGAAACTGCCCCTCCCCCCAGCAAACTGCGCTGGGCGCCGCCATCTTGCCCGAAGGCGGAGAGCTCAGAACTCACAGCTCTCAACCCCCATCCAGTGGCGACAGGCTGTAACTGCAACTGAATTCTACCATCATGTGCAAAAACTGCTCCTCTACCATCCAGCAATTTATAAAAGCTTCAGACCAGAAGGAAAACAATAAAAACACAGAATTAAGTCCTAAGGACTTGGAAATAGGTAAACTAAGTGAAAATGAGTTCAGAGTAGCTATCATCAAAAAACTCAATGAGGTAGAGAGAAAGATAGAGAAACAAGCCAACGAGTTCTGGAGTTACTTCACAAAAGAGATTGAAATTATAAAGAAGAATCAAACATAATTACTAGAGATGAAAAACACAATGGACCAGATAAAACAGAATACGGATTCCCTGAATGCCCATGTAGACATCATAGAGGAGAA